CCTTTAGGTCACTTTTACATTGAATACTAGGTATACCTAGTAGCAAAGACTATGGAATTGAGCCCAATGAACAACCCTTGTCTTACCCCTGTCGGGAATAAAACGCAATGACGATATGTTATGCTACATTCAAACGAGCAAGTGCACTCGCAAACAACACTCGAACAGCAACTCGCCGAGTATTGGCTTAGCATATTTCATAGACAGTAAATAAAATAGATGAAAGTGTTCTATTATTACTGGCTGTAAATAACGACGTACCTAGATACTCAAGTGGTTTTATTTTTGGATACGTTAGGCTTGCTACAGCCACGAGTTTATGTGAATGCTCCATTCGGTTAATGTTAATTGGAAAATTGGTTGTTGTCGTGTGATGGGAATTGAAGAGATGGAGGAAGTGGGGCTTTAATTTATATTGTCTTTTTATGGCGTAATGTGAGTGTGACGTAGCTTATACTTTTTCGTCAGTTTTTTATTTGTTAATGTATGATATGGCGCGCGTTAAAGTATGAAGGTTTATTTGTAAAATACATGCATATTGCACCCATGCGAAGCCGGGGCGGGTCGCTAGTATATTTTAATTGTTTGTTAATCTTAGACGCTAAATTGCTGAGCCGGTTTTGATAAATTGATACCAGAAATACTTAAATAAAATTATGCGTTTGCAATCTAATCCGATTCCAATTTTTATTGGAAAAAGTTTTCGATAAGCCATTTCAATAGAAATACGGCTGGACAAAGATTATTTGATCTTTAGAATCGATATAACTTAGGTAGGTACTATTTTTATGGGATAAGCCGCTAAACGAGCACACGGATTACCTGAGTGTAAGCAATCGGCGTCGCCCATGGACACCTCGAAAACTAGAGGAGTTACAAGTGCGTTGGGGCAGGGATTGGGGAGTAGGGAGGGTAATTGAGCCTCCGGTAAATTTAGTTAAATTATAATATGGTATCAATTTCTCGTGTAAACAGCTTAAAGATTATTTCTAAGTCGGAATATCGACGGTACTATCTTCGCGCACGTTATTAAGATTAATGATGATTAACCTCTGTGTTTTATTTTATAAATATTGAGTTCAAAAGATTAAATACACTCCGCCAAAGTATAATAAATAACTAAACTTAATAGTTATATGAGTTATTTTTCATAATGGGCCTGTAAATGATGACGTAGATATTGGTGTTTGATGCTGATTTGAAAAAGTCGTCGTACCTTCAAGAAAAGAGCTTACTCCTTTTTAAAAGGCGATTTTTCCATGGGCGGCACTGATCGCTCACCATCAGGTGATACATCTGCTCGTTTGCCTCCTATTCCATAAAAAAAAAATACAAATATGGCTGCTAATCACGATGTCTTCCTCAGGCGAAGAGGTTTCATGATGACATGAGAGTCAGGACTGTCCCTTATTAAATAGGTCATTTTTTGTAAAGGTGATAATCATTAAATGACTCCCCTTCGCCCCGGGTGAGACGAGATGGAGTGTCAGACTCTTACTGGTTAAAATACAACCCCACCACTCCTGCTTCGAGATACATGGGACTTGAACTTGTTGAGTGAATGTATTGTGCATCTTTACACGTCCTTTCGGGAAATAGTTAAGAACGATTACCATTTACTGATCATCTTTCGACGATAACCAACTCAAATATAAATACTTAGCTTATTTGTAAACAAAACAACCACTACAATATCTTATCTCGCATTCAAAAGCTGTCCTAAACATTGATCGTGGAGTGTACCAAAATATTTTGGACCTCCGCCAACGAATTGTCAATAAAATATGCAGGCGTTAGGGTTCGTACTACCCTGGAGAGGTCACATCTATAGGGACCAATATTTTATCCTATATTTACGTTTGTATTTGTCTTGTGGGTACTGGGTATATTGAAACAGTAACTACAAAACTGCCTAAGTACTGCATTTCTTACTTCTATAGTCTCTATGTTAAAACATCTATTCAAATGTTTTAAATATAAATAGATGAGGTACTGTCTCATACGTTAAATGGTCACAGGATAGCAAACTATCAGGTGGATCACCTGATGGTAAGCAATCAAAACACCAGAAGAGTTATAAATAAACAAGTGCGTTGCCGGCCTTTTAGGGATTTGGGGATTACAGACTAAACGAGGCTTCAAATGTTTTTCTTTTTTATGGTACGGAAAACATTCTTTTGGAACTCAATAATATTGAATGTACAGGGGGCTTACTCTTGAATCCAATTCCGATCGATCGACATTGGTATTGTGAAATTTCGTACTCTTGAGTTGCAATACTAGAGCCCATTGCATCCGTATTGCGTAGATATTGAATGAACTAAATGGTATTGAGTTTGTCTTTATATTCCGTACTCTGAATGCTATTGTAACAGCTAAGATTGTGGTTGTATAGTGTTGACATTTAATAATTATTGAGATCATATTGGATTGAAATTGCATTGACATTGAGATTGGTTTCAAGAGTAAGCGCCCAGCTGTGTCTAAAATTTTATACCAAACGCAATGTTATCCAAGTAGCTTCTACGATTAATATTCTTTATTACGAAGTTAATTTACATAATTATTATTATTACATCTATATATATAAAAGAAAGTCGTGTTAGTTACACTATTTATAACTCAAGAATGGCTTAATCGATTTAGATGAAAATTGGTGGGGAGGTAGCTTAGAACCAGGAGACGGACATAGGATACTTTTTACCCAATTCTTTTTTTTTACTTTTTACCGAACATCAAGAACGGGCACGGGAAATATCGGGATTGCGCGTACAAAGTCGCGGGCAGAAGCTAGTTTGTTTATAATAACATGTCTGTATGTAGGTAGTGTTCTAAATATTCTAATCGATTTTTTAATTCATCCGATTGGGCCTTTGGGCAGCCCACGCTGACGCCTGTTGATACTTTTTGTTTTTATTTTGGTTTTTCTCATATATAGGTTTTTATATTATGTTCTGTCGTTGATCGAGTGGTTACAAGAGGTTTCTGAGTCAAATCTCGAGATGGTCAATGTCTGATTAGCTTTCCATTTTTATTCGACTTCAACAAAGACGGGAGGTGCTCTCAATTCGGCCTACCTGTGTTCTATTACCTATCTTCTTTTATTTTCGTTGTATCCAATAGTTTGGTGTCTGGAATTGTACCCTGGTATCACAAAAGTATTGTTCTCTATGTCCTATGGAATTTGTAAGCTCAAAGTCAAAGTAAAAATCATTTATTTCAATTAGACCAGGAAGTCACTTTTGAACGTCAGCAATAGAAATTTAAAAGTGAAGCTATTTGCTCATTCCAAGGTGTAGATTCCTATGGAGAAGAACGAGCAAGAAACTCCATAGGTTACCGTTTTCCAATGAAGTTGGTGTTACTATAACTTATTCGTTCATAAATTATCGTCACTTAAGGTCCTTGAAAATAATTTCTAAATCGATTTTGGGTAAGCAACAGTCATTTGTTTAATTGGAGTTATCGATTTTGGGCTCTGTCAACATTTTGGTAGGCGATTTGTAGCTAGGTGCTTGTAATTTTGGGTTAGTTAGGTATTATTTTAGGGATTAGACTTGTTAGGTGATCTGAATACTTCAGTTATGGGATCGTTCTATCTATTGATTGTGTCATGAGTCCCAATGTGTTAGGGACCTATTTTAGCTCCCAATTTTGGTTATTGTAATGTCTTCTATGGCCTCTGTGCCATATACTATCTTCGTCCTATGGCTGATATGCTGATGATGAATATCTTCTGTGTTAGCCAGTGACTCAACATAAGAATCTCGTAACAGTGGACTATGGGCCTCTACACAAGGTATCCCATAATCTCTTCAGTTAGCAGGCCAGTTAGTTTAAAAGGTTCAGGTTTATCAGAGAGCGCTGCTGCCGGTTCTCTGTCTTTGAGTTCCATAGTCAGCTCTAATAAATCTAATAAAAAATGATACTTACGTGGATAATACCAGTGGTGATCAAGCCTTTCGACGGCCGACAGAGAACTGTTGAAGGCAAAAGGTTAACATTAAGTAAAATCGCGGGTTACTCACGTGAATATACTGAGAAAAGCTCTACTAGTTTCGAACCACAGAGGGGTTCTTCCTTATGAGCAGCGTGCGCGACGTCGCCGCGACCGCGCACACTGCTCATGAGGAAGAAGATTTTACTTAATTTAGTATGTCTCACGATAGGTATTAAAAAAAACAAAAGGTTAACGTGTTAATAACGAATATTTTTTTCTTCTTTACAGATATTCAGTGCAAAAGTGTTCAGTGCCTAAGCCTATCTGTGATTTAAACAGTGTTATTTAAAGACAGTGTAATAATTAGACTGTGTGGACTCAGTGCCAGGTGCCATGCTGGTCTGTAGAACTATTAGGTGCGGTAATAGGGCAGACTTCGTTAAGTGAAAAGTGCTGGACCAGGAGCAACGGTGAGTGTTTAGATTACTCTAATACCTATACATATAACTAAGGTATAAAAATATTGTATGACAAGAGCATGGACCCAAGTCTTTAGTCTGTGGTGATTAATTACTAAAATAAAAAAAAACTGTCGGAAGTGGGTCACGCCTCAAAGAGCCATCAGACCACCACAGATGGGGCCCAACAGGGCCGATGCCGATTCGGAGTCGCGGAGAACCTAACGGGTAACCGGGGCTCGACGTGCAGGAGAAGGAACGGGATGGTTTTTAGTCAGTAAGAGTCTGACACGGCTGTCTGGCGGGTAGGACCCGCCTCACCCAGGCGGGAGCAGTCGTTCGATGATTTTCCCCCCTTAAAAAAACCCCCTTCTGATAACTATCATTTAACTACTTACCTACCCATCCACAAGACTCACAAATATGTCTTCTCCTTATTCAAGATGGCGCACTATCCCCAACCAGCAAACTTGGAGGCGGCGCTGCCGCTCCTCAACAGACCGGACCTTCGTCTCCGCCAGCAGCTCGGAGACCAGCTCACCGCCCTGGTGCGCAAGGAACCGGAGATCACACATGAGCTAGCCGCACAAATCCTGGACTCCATGGTAGCGTGGCTCAATGGTGGTAATTTTAAGGTGAGATTTTGCTGAAAAGTTTGTACCTAGTTCTTGTTAAGTGGCGCTGGTGTAGTAATATAAGTCGTGTGTTTGAACTCAGTACTATATAATCTTTACTGACTACAGTAGGTACTATTGACTACAGTAAAGATTATACTAACGGCTGGATTAACCTTATTTTTGATTAAAACTCCATACAAGTAAATAAAAAATGGATATTTACCTAAAGATTTTAAAAATTGGTTATTCTTTCGTAAAAAGCTCTGTAATAGTTAATGAACCCTGACTTGCCAGACTTGTCTCGGAAACGAGAACAAGTGGAGTATGTTAAAACTCAAGTAAATAAAAACGTTTATAACGTATTGAAACAAAATAATCAAATAATAATGCAATAAATATTCCTTACTAACAAGACAAATGTCTATCTAAAAACTAGCAACGGTACGTTTCATTCTTATTTATATAAGAAATATAAAACTATAAAGAAATATACATCTGTGCATCATTAGTTCATCTTAAACGGCGGCTCGCGAAGCGTCCTCAATGTATCATACACACTCTGATTACGATCATATTACCGCTTGCCCACCGCGCTTCATTGCGCACACCGTCTTATTCTGGAGATAAAACTACCATTCATATATGTTGTATAATATTGTCTATTCGTGGTGAGCTCATAAACTGCTGAACGGATTTGTGTGTGATTTTCGCCAGTAGATAGAGGGGTTACTTATTCTAGAATAGGGATGATGACAGGGTATGAAAATTAAAAATGCATTTACTCCGTCAGTTAGGTAATGAAAAAATATTAGACACGTATCTTTTTATTTTGTCGTATAAGAAAACAACACTTAGATAAAACAACTCAAAGTTTAAAAGCTGGAGGTAAAACGTAATTTCTACGTATACCTAAAACAGCCCTAGAAGTGACGTCACGCGATGTTTCAAATCAATATATCGTCGAAAGTATTTGTCTCTGTAAGGAAATAAAAAATACGTATATTTTAAAATAATCTACAAGACGGACTTAAAATAAATTAGTCATCTACCCTCTTATAAAACTACGATCTATCTATACCTACATGTTGTAAAGTTCCATGCGTCCGACTGTCCCGGCTGTTTGACACTCGTGAACTGGAGTCTGTATTTCCTGAAGTGTATAACCTGGTAGTCTTCAAGGCCCGAGTGAATAGATTGCTTATGGGACGACGTGCTCCAACGTAGACCGCAACATCGCTTACCACCAGGCGAGATAGTGGGCAAACGTCGTCGGCCCATCAAATATAGTTAAAAAACTGCTGAACGGATGTGTGTAATTTTCACCAGTGTATGGGGTATTTTAAGGAAGGCTTAGTATCATGAGTGAAAAGTTAATAGTAACTAAAATTCGACAACCTTATTAAGACATTTCAGAATTAATGCAAATTGGTTTAGCCGTTTAGGAGTGAAAGCTATACAAATAAAATTTTGCGTGATAGAATGGACAATGTTATCTAAGATATTCATCTATTGATTATAAATCTAATCTCAGATGATATCCGTATTTAATTAATATAATATTGGATTAGATAATCAAATTTTCACCATCGGCATCTTTGATATTGATAAACTGTAATCTGTAACTCTTGAAATATGCGATATTTATAAACTGCCTATGATATGAAATTCTTCATTAAACAATAGGCTTATTCCTATAAGCAGATTTCAGACTTAAAAGTAAATTTATGTCGTTATACACACACATGACATCACGCCTTTTATCCCCGAAGGGGTATGCAGAGGTGCACATTACGGTACTTAATGCCACTGCACAATGTACCACTCACTTTTCACTATTCTATGCTATCAATCTCATGTCATAAGGTGTGAGCCTATTGCCATATACTGGCCAAAATTCCAGACTTCGTGCTACTACTGAGAATCCATTAAAACCCGATTAATACTTTTTCCGACCCGGGAATCGAACTCAAGACCCTTTGCACGTCGCACTTGCGACCACTCGGTCGTTATAACTCCATAATGTAGTCGTTCATATACGACAGGATTGGAGTTCGGAGAACCCTATTTGAGTGGCTGGTCGCAATTTATAACTTAATCGAACCCCTATCAGCATTAAGAGATAGTATTCCGAGATGAATTAGAGACTGGAAAAAACTAAAATCTTAAGTGTGGGAGAGCCATGCTTCGGCACGAATGGGCCGGCTCGACCGGAGTGATACCACGGCCTCACAGAAAACCGACGTGAAGCAACGCTTGCATTGTGTTTCGTCGTGTGAGTGGGGTTACCGGAGGCCCAATTAATTACCCTCCCCTTCCCTAATCTCCCCAATTCCCGAATCCCCAACGATCCTCAAACTCCTAATCCCCAAAAGGCCGGTAACGCACTTGTAACGCCTCTGGTGTTCCAGGTATCCATGGGCGACGCCGATTGCTTACCATCAGGTGATCCGTCTGCTCGTTTACCGGCTAATGCCATAAAAAAAACTTTATATCCAGATCCTCATACAACAAAAGATGATAATAGATCTCTGATCTCTACCAGCCAACAATGTGATCAGAATAGTGACATGCTTCTAATATAATTGCACGCAGTCTGTAGCGATCCGCGCTACGGTGCACTACTAGTGTCGATAATTGTATAGTGGTTAAAGTGGGGTGAGCAGGAGTGTTGTAGCACCAGATAAGTGTACGGATAATGTAATTTAATTCTTTTATTAATTTCAATATATGACTGTTTTGTCCTCTTTTTCTTATTTGATGGGCCGTGCAAAGTTTTATTTAGTAAAACATGATCATCGTACCACAAAACCATTGGTGGGTATCGTAGGCCGCATTATCGCTTACCACCAGGCGAGATAGTGGGCAAAGGTCGGCCCATCAAATATAAAAAAAAAACATTTAAAATTTAATTTTGTGAGTAAACTAAAAATACTTGTCTAAAATAAAACATACGTGTCTAAAGTTTTAAAATAATGTACCAGACGAACATTAAAATAAAATTTAGTAATCTACCCTATTCCGGATTCTGTGTTACTACTGAGATTTTTTTTAAAACTCAGTAATACTAATCCGGTAACCTGAACCGGCAGTCGCACTTGCGACTACTCGGCCAACGAGGCGATCAGCAGGCAGTTTAGGTACTTACATAACAATATAATAATTGTTTGTATTTCGTTGCAGGTGGCACAGAATGCCCTAGAGGTGCTGACGGCGTTGGCGGAGCGCATGGGACCGGAGTTCTCACACTACGTGCCCACCGTGCTGCCGCATGTTATTGACAGGTAACTTACAAACTATATTATAACTAGCTTTACCGCGGCTTCGCTCGCATCACAAAAGAATAAAAAGTGGCCTATGTGACATATACCAATACACACAGCGCCATCTATACCAATACTTTTGTTTTTCCTCGGGAATATCAATTTTTCCGGGTTAAAAAGTTCCCTATTATTTAATCCGGACTTCTAATTCAAAGCAATCGGTTGAGTAGTTACGGCGTGAAGGAGGAACAAACAAACAAACTCACTTTCAGATTTATAATATTAGTAAGGATTAAAGGTTTTTTTTATGGGATAAGTAGCTGTAAACGAGCAGACGGATCACCTGATGGTAAGCAATCGGCGTCGCCCATGAACACCCGAAACACCAGAGGCGATAGAGTGAGGATACAAGTACGTTACCGGCCTTTATTAGGAATTTGATGATTGAATTTGAGGGGGCGGGGGGATAATTGGGTCTCCGGTAACCTCACTCACGACGAAACAACGCAAGCGTTGTTTCATGTCGGTTTTCTGCTCGGCCGTGGTATCACATTGCTCTACCATACTTAAATCTCACACACAGATGACAAAGACAACATATATGTAAAGAGTACTGTCACACCTTTATTGTCTTTTTTATATTTTATTTATGCTGCATCGTACCTGGTGCTGAATAAATGTTTTTTCTTTCTGATATTGTATACATATATGTAATGTATGGAACACAACGTCTATCTAAAACATATTAATTTTTAGTCAATTTAAAATGTTTTAGATAGATAAATTTGGCCAATGGTGGGACTGACGTAGCCTATTGATAAAAACACCTAAAGTAAAATAGATAATAATTTAAAAAAAACACAACGTCTTTTCCTCATTAATGATATAGGTCATAATTATGTAATAGGGAATGAGCCTATTGCCATACACCAGGCACAATCCGTAAACCCATACCTTATCCAGAATTTTCGAACCTAAAAATACTCCATACTCCATTACTCCACCTAGGAATCGATCTCGAGACTCCTTGTTAGACAGTCTCAATTCAACAACTCATTCTAATATGAATGGAGTCACGGGAAAAACCTAATGAATTATGCTACACATTAATCATAATAAAACAATACATACATTCTTGATGTAATTCTCCCGCCATACTTGATCGCTTCCTAATGGACCATTGTGTTGTGACGTCATTTCCTCACATATTATTACTATGTAGTTTACGCTCCAATGGAGGGTAGACTGAAGTCGTAAAGGTCGCGATGTTTATCGTATTAGGTCATGTGTGATGATAGGACAAAAGTTTACAGTTAGTCAAATTCTTTAGTAAGCTGGTAAGAAAATAAAGATTGTTTCAGTACAGAGACAGTAGCCATTGGTTGGCTGTGTAGGTATATTTAAAAATATTAAAAGGTTGCCTCCTTGGCCGAGTGGTCGCAAGTGCGACTACCGGGCAAGGTGTCTTGTGTTCGATTCCTAGGTCGGACAAAGTATTACGGAGCCGCGGAAGACTTAACGGGTTGCCGGAGCTCCGGCTCGAAGCGCAGGAGTAGGAACGGGGTGGTTTAAAAAAAAGGTCGGACATAGTATTACAGGGTTTTTAAAAAATTCTCAGTAGTAACACGGAGTCTGGAATTGTGCCCGGTATATGGCAATAGGCTTACCCCCTATTACATGGGACTCATAACATAGATAGTAAAAGGGGATGTTACACTGCACAGACAGTGGCATTAAGTGCCGTAATGCGCATCTCTGTCTACTCCTGCGGGGATAAAAAGTGTGATGTTATGTTGTTTTCTGAATTCAGTGATTATTTTTTTAAGCTTTGTTTTACACTAGGATTTTCTCCTGTGTCGTGTGTGCGTTTACAAACATACAAGTTCACATACACATGCCACACAGACCCGGAACAACAATCTGTGGATCACACAAAGAATTGCTACGTGCGGGGATCTAACCCGTTATACGTTCCGGTTGCCCAGCCCAGCCACTGTGATGTTGAAAATGATGTGAAATATGATGATTTTATCTCCAAATTGTTGTTTATAGACTAGCAGATACGAAGGAGGCAGTGCGTCACACGGCCCGGACGTGCGTGTCGTCGCTGGGCACGTCCCGCGCGGCGCAGGCCCGCGGCCTGCTGGCTCGCCTGGCGCCCGCGCTCGCGCACAAAGCTCCCCACGCCAGGGAGGAGGCGCTGCGCTGTATACAGGCCTTGCTGGAGAAGTTAGTATTGATTTTTATTATAATTGGGTACTTGCAAACTAGTCGAATTAAATACTTTTTTCAAACTGTCAAAACACTTCAGTGTTCCGGTTTTATTATGGTTGTATCTACTGTAGATCCTGGCTTACAGGAGTTGCAGCGGTTTTGGGAGGTTGTGGCGGGCTTGTCCCATTAAAAAAAGAAAAACAAAAATATAATGTCAAAAACGACAGTTTTCTATGAATTTTGTACGAGATTGTGTATTGTGATGTCACATTTTTTTAGCGTCAAACAGCATACTTATATCTTAAATAATGCTAGAAAAATTCTAAAATTAATTTAGTCATAAAATCAATTAATGAAAATATGATTTTTTTAATGCTCTATTGTATTGAACAGTCGAAATAATTTATTTTTGATTAAGGAAAGTACCCAATTGCTAGCTAGAGTTAGAGAGACACACGTTATCTTATTTGATGACCCAATGATTAGATTCATTGGATTTAGATTCATAACAAATGTCTAATACTTAATGATGGTGTAGTTATCATCCTCCCAAGTTCGTGATTAAGGGACCCGGTGTGGCTCGAAAGTAGTCGAGCTTCCAGCGAGAGCGTCTTTAGTGTTCTCTATTTTTAGTACTGATATTTTTATGGATTTAAAAAGAGCTACCATATAGATGTTTGCTGAAAACTGACGGACTTTATATTTGTTGGGTTCAATTTTCAAAAATTGTACATTCCAACTGATGTTTTGACCTTTACCCAGCGTTGAAAAGATCTGTTACACCTTACTTTTATATTAATAAGTCTAATATAATTCCAGCCACGGTGCGACCGAGCTCCAGTTGCGCGCGGCAGTGCCCAACCTGGCGGCGCTGGTGGGGGACCCCAGCGCGGCCGTCAGGGACGCCGCCATGCAACTACTCGTCGACGTCTACAGACATGTTGGTGTGTACATAACTACTTTTATACATAAATATCGTCACGCTTGTGTCCTATTGAGGTAGGCAGAAACAATAGAGTGCCAATTGATATGATGACAGGGTATGAAAATTAAAAATCTATTTAGTCCGTAAGTTACATGATGAAAAAATATTAGACACGTTTTTTTATTTTGTCGTATAAGAAAACAATACTTACATAAAACGAATCAAAGTTTAGGAGTGGGGGCTAAAACGTCATTTCTACGTATAAAATGTACATAGAAGTGACGTCACACGACATTTCAAATCAAGATATCGTCGAAAGTATTCGTTTATGTAAGAAAATTAAAAATACGTGTCTAATGATTTAAAATAATCTACCAGACGGACGTTAAAAAAACATTAGGCATCTACCCTATTGCCACGATTCTGGCCTATATCTGCTATGTACCAAATATCGCGCGTAGGCGTAATATAATGCTTAAGTAAGGCCCCCACAGTTCCTTAGTCGATTTATGACACGACAGACCAAGTAAGGGTTTAACAAAGCCATCAGACCACCACGGATGGGCCCAATAGGACTGATGCCGATACGGAGTTGCGGAGAACCTAACGGGTTACCGGGGCTCCGGCTCGACGTGCAGGAGAAGGTACGGGGTGGTTTTTAGTCAGTAAGAGTCTGACACTCCCTCCCGCCTCACCCAGGCGGGAGCAGTCATTCGATGATTTTCCCCCTTAAAAAAGGGAATTAACAAAATGTATTCTATTATGCAAATTTTTCTCCTCTCAAAATGATTGTTATTATATTCCAGGTGAGAGACTAAGACAAGACTTGAAGAAGAAAGAGTTGCTGCCCGCACAGAAGTTCGCGCTGCTGGAACAGAAGTTTGACGAGGCTAGGGAAGCTGGACTTCTACTACCCACTGGTAACAATAACAAACATAATACATATACTTAGTCTTAATTCATTCTGTCTCCTGCAGTAATTCACCGAGGGAAGTGGAAACTATAGTTTTTTCTTTTTCTCCTTTTATAATATCTTCTGATTCACTTCGTTGCGTGAACCAAGACAATTATTCATGTCCCTGGGACGCGCTGGACTTCAGTGTTCCGGTGTTTTCATGGTTGTATCTACTGTAGATCCTGGCTTACAGGAGTTGCAGCGGTTGTGGCAGGCTTGTCCCATTAAAAAAATATATATACTTAGTCTTTGTTACGGATTGAATGAGGAAAGATATGCTAAGATGATTTGCCAATGATAAAACTAACACGTTTTAAATAATTATGGTCCTATGTTACAAATATGGCAACAATTCTCAATATACAACAGTTTGAAAGTTAACTAAAAATCGCGGGTTACTCACGTGAATGTACTGAGTAAAGCTCTACTAGTTTTGAACCACAGAGGGGTTTTTCTTCATGAGCAGCGTGCGCGGTCGCGGTGACGTCGTGCTTTAGTAAAGCTTTTCTCAGTATTCTCACGTGAGTAACCCTCGATTTTAGTTAATTTAGTGTCTCACGATAGTTATTATAAAAACATATAGACAAATTTGCTGTAAGTTGTTTTAGCTATATTTTGTTATATAAATTTTCAAATATTATTAGGTTTATGTATGTTATCCATTTTATATTTATAAATAGTTTGATAGATAAGTCACAAAGTATTATAGTCCATTATGTTCATAGCTTTCAAGATTTATAAAATTTTTCCATGCCACATGGTAGAATGTACCAGAAACTATATGTCTTTGTAAGATCTTATATTATGTACCTACATTCAATGCAAATAAATTATTCTATTCTATTCTATAACCTCCACAGCGACAGCGGGAGCGGACGAACCAGACTTCATATCCCGGACGGTGAAACGTACAATGACGATACCAACATCAGCGCGGTCCCGAGACGGTGACAGCTCCGGAGCTTCCACGCCAGGTAATTGAACCTACTACCCATTTTGATATTGGTCTGTAGTGGAATGATATCATTATAATAACTAGTATATGTTGAAATTGTAATGTGGGTAAATGTTGAGTTTTTTAATGTTATAATAAATAATATTAACTAAATATCGCGGTTTACTCACGTGAATATATGAGAAAAGCTCTACTAATTTCGAACCACAGAGGGGTTCTCATGAGCAGCATGCGCGGTCGCGGCGATGTCGCGCAGCCTAATAATAATAAATAATATTTCAATATTAAATATAACGTCGTGGTGGTCCGAAGGTTTGAGACATCCGCTTCTCTTACATGAGGGTTCGAAACCTACCAACGGCAAGTACCAATGTGACTTTTTCCGAGTTATATGTACTTTCTAAGATTATTTAGACACCACTGACAAACGGTGAAGGAAAACATCGTGAGGAAACCTGGGCTTATAATTTCTAATTATAAGTTTGAAATCGCCAAACCGTAATGAGCAAGTGTAGTGATTAATGCTTAAACCTTCTCCGTATGAGAAGAGGCTTCTGGTCAGCAGTGGGCATATATAAGCTGTTGACGATGATGATGATACAGTAATATGCTAACATTTACCCACATTACAACTCGAGATAATATCTTAATTACAATCAATAAAAATACTTCTTCACATTAACTTTACTTATATTATCTTCGCATGGGTTCTCATTATCACCATGATGTTTCAATTCGGAGATAACTATCACCATAACTTTTTAAAATACTAAGATTTTATAATAATAAGATATTCGCATACAATAATTATGAAGTAATAAAATCTATAATATCACCGTTATAATAATTTAATACTGCCAATAAAACGAGATTTATATTGCATCAATAATGTATTTTGACACCATCGTTATTCTTGTGGTGGGTGTCGTATACCCAGCTAAGAGATTAGTTATTTAATAAAGACTGAACAGCAGCGTCCTTCGATAAACCTAAACCAATTAAGTTTTGATCTCCAAACACTGTTAGACTTATGGCTATGCCATAATCTCTGCGCTTGGCAAACCGGACCATCCATTACCTAGACTCAATTCCACCAATCTCCCCAATCCCTGAATCCCCAACAATCCTCAAATTCCTCATCCCCAAAAGGCCGGTAACACACTTGTAACGCCCCTGGTGTTGCGGATGTCCACGGGCGACGCCGATTGCTTACCATCAGGTGATCCGTCTGCTCGCTTACCAGTTTATCCCATAAAAAAGGGCTGCAGATCGCAATTTAAGTTCAGGTTTTACACAGAGCTCTGGTGCTCAGTCTCTCATTAAATTAATCAACTGAACTTTATTTGGATATATTTGAACATCGCTCAGCCGTTCATCTGGTCTGTTCATTCTAATCTTTGTAAGTTAACATAAGCGACACTAGATGGCATTAGCAGTAAATATAATAATTGGTTATTTTGTTATATCTATTTTACATAAATGTGTAGTCCCTCAATCGGTGTACGATACCCACTAAAACAATTCTATACAAAATATATAATGTATTCTAGTCTCTAACGACTCTATATAAACCAAAAAATCTCTTATATTAGCAGTATAACATAAAAAATTAAGATCATTCTTGAAACTCCTATCTTTCTTCATAACTAACACTCTCATGGCACGTAGCGTGCGAGGCGCCGAAGCGTACAGTTCCCGGGCTGTACAGCTTGCCCTCCGCTAGTCGGAAGCCCCCGCCTGCCAAGATGACCAGTGCAGCTAGTGGTAAGTTGATCACTCATTACAATTATTAATTTTCAAAGCATTCATTTACTAAGATTGTCATAGTACTAATAATACAAATGTGAATGTTTGTCCGTCAATCCGACTGCTTATGTGTCGCGGAGAACCTAACGGGTAACCGGGGCTCCGGCTCGACGTGCAGGAGAAGGAACGGTGTGGTTTTTAGTCAATAAGAGTCTGACACTCTCTCCCGCCTCATCCAGGCGGGAGCAGACATTCGATGATTTTCCCCCTTAAAAAAATGGTGTTCCGGGTGTCCATGGGCGGCGCTGATCGCTTACCATTAGGTGATCCATCTGCTAGTTTGCCTAAAAAAAGCCACTCTGAAACTACTGAATGGATTTTGATGAAATTATACAAGCATATATTATGCTGACTTAGGTGATGCTTTTTATCTTGACTAAATGCTCTCATAGGATAAAACAGGAATCATTTTCTACGCGGACGAAGTCGCGGGCAAGAGCTAGTTTTTCATATGGTTTTAATGAAAGTTACTATTCTACGACAGGCATTGTTGACTGAATCAATAGATTTTATACAGTATTTTGTATTTTTGTGTTTTAATACTGGCCGAATTGAGAATCTCCTTCTTTTTGAAAAGTCTGTTAAAATCAGTTATGTCTGAGTAATTATATTATTATGATGATGATTGTGTACAAACAAGTCTTGTCTGCATGCTTTATATCCTTTTTATTATTTTTTATTAGGGCGGGTTCGAAACCTACCCACGGCAAGTACCAATGTGACTTTCTCCGACGTGTATGTACTTTCTAAGATTATTTAGACACCACTGTCAAGGTGATGCTTTTAATTTCTAATTATAAGTACTGTGATTATTGAGCAAGCGTAGTGATCAATGCTCAAACCTTCTCCGTGGGAGAAGAAGCCTTTGCTGCCACTTATAGTCTGTAGATGATTACAACGATATGTTAATCCGCCAGTATCGACGACGACGGGCGCGGGCCCGGCGGGCGAGTCGGGCGCGGGCGCGGTGTCGTCGGAGGCGTTCGAGGCAGCCTTCCTGTCGTCGGCGCCGGCCGCCGTGTACGGCCCGCGCGGCCTCGACGACCTCTGTCGCCACGCCGCCGCGCTGCTCGGCGACCGCGCCGCCGACTGGGAGAAGAGGGTCGACGCTGTCAGTATACACTCACATCACTTACGTTTACGACGTCTATATGCTCGTATACTGCCTCGTTGGCCGAGTGGCCTTGCAGGGCAAAGGGTATCGGGTTCGATTCCCGGGTCGAGCAAAGTATTACTGGGTTTTTTTAAAAATTCTCAGTAGTAGCACGGAGTCTGGAACTGTGCCTGGTATATGGCAATAGGCTCACCCCCTATTACATGGGGACTCATAACATAAATAGTGAAAAGTGGGTGTTACATTGTACAGTGGTATAATGTGCACCTCTGCCTACCCCTTTGAGGATAAAAGGCGTGATGTTATGTTATGTATATGGTCGTATGTTGATTTAGTAGGACTTATACTCCGGGCCGTCTTAGACAAGGGACACAATATTTCGGGGCCTTTTGTAAATGTTTCTTTTTTTTAACGTTACCCCACTCTAGGATCTTTTTCCGTATCATGGGTGCGTTTACAAACATAGAAGTTCACGTACCCAGACCAAAAATACAAATTTGTAGATCACACAAAGATTTGGTCCGTGCGGGAATCAAACCCGCTACACGTTGCGCGGCAGCCAGTTACGGCGCAACGTGTAGCAAAAATGTGTGTCTGGTCCTTCGGGCCCCCTGGGCACGGGCTCTGAATGACCTTATGATAAAACAGTACTGCCTATACTAAAAGTTCAATTGAATATTATGTAGTTGTTAAAATAATATTTTACATTTCTTTATATATTATTTATTTATTTTATACTGAGAATATACTGCTGCCGATGACACAGATTAAACTAGTGACATTCATTTAGTTAAATTTCATCATCTAACAATAGAAAATACCTAATAATCTTACTTCCTCGACAGCTAAAAAAGATCCGCTCCCTCCTGACTGCCAACGCCCACCAGCAGTACCCGACAGAGTTCGCGGCACATCTCAAGGACCTGTCCGTACCATTCCTCGTCGTCATCAAGGATCTCAGGAGTCAGGTTCGTTCAAATCATCATCACATTTTTTTTTATATAAAACCTTGCCCCACATTAGGATTTTCTCCTGTATCGTGTGTACGTTTACAAACATAAAATTTCACATACACATGACACACAGACCAGGAACAACAACCTGTGGATCACACAAAGAGTTGTTCTGTGCGGAAATCGAACCCGCGAAACGTTGTTAATGTTATATTCAAGGGTAATACAAACGCTGTCTGTTCCTATGTATGCTTAGATCTTTAAAATACTCAATAAATGTTAATATGTTATTTAAAAGCAAGATGTACCTACACACATGTCATACACATACATAACGTGGAAAGCCGCGGGCAACAGCTAGACTACCGGGCAAGGGGTCTCGGGTTCGATTCCAGGGTATTACTGGGGTTTTAAAAAAGTTGTACCTGTGTGTCTGGAATTGTGCCCAATATATGGCAATAGGCTCACCCCCTATTACATGGGACTCATAACATAAATAGTGAAAAGTGGGTGTTACATTGTACAGTGGCATTAAGTGCCGTAATGTGCACCCCTGCCTGCCGTTTCGGAGATAAAAGGTGTGATGTTATCTTATGTATTTATTATATCTATCGACGAGCATACATGCAGATGAAAGGATTGATGAATGTACATGAATTTGGCGTTACACTTTCTCTGCCTACCCCCAATGGGAGACAGGCGTGATTTGACACTCAATCGACTATAATATTACAATACTATTTTGCCTACAGGTAGTACGCGAGGCGTGTATAACGATAGCGCACATGGCCAAAGTACTGCGCAACAAGATCGACCAGTTCAGTCTCTACATACTGCAAGAGCTCATCAATCTCATACAGAATGCTGCCAAGGTAAGTCAGATGTTCCAACTCCTCGCTAGGAATAGGGATGATGATAGGGTATGGAAATTAAAAATCTAATTAGTCCGTAAGTTAGGTAATGCAAAAATTTTATTTATTTATTTATACTTTATTGCACACACAGAAAAAAATTGTAAACATTGCAATAGTAATTTGAGTACAATGGGCGGTCTTATCACACGCGGCGATTTCTTCCAGACCACCTTTGGATAGAATTTTTGAAAAGAATCTACCACCCATGGTAGATGCACAATAAAATAAAACCAAAATAGAAGAATAACAAAATTAGACACGTATTTTTTTATTTTGTCGTATAATAAAACAATACTTGCATAAAACGAATTGTAGTTTAGGAGTGGGGGCTAAAACGTAATTTCTACGTATAAAATGTACATAGAAGTGACGTCACGCGACATTTCAAATCAATATATCGTCGAAAGTATTCGTTTCTGTAAGAAAATAAAAATACGTGTCTAATGATTTAAAATAATCTACCAGACGGACATTAAAATAAAAATTAGGCATCTATCCTATTGAATGGGTTATCGCCATAATATTGCAAGGCTACTTAATGTTAAGTTGTACCTAAATATCGTGCCATCTCTATTATTTTACAAAGATAAACTAAAATTCGCGGGTAACTCACATGAATATACTAAGAAAAGTTTTACTAGTTTCGAACCACAGAGGGGTTCTTCCTCATGAGCAGCGTGCGCGGTCGCAGCGATGTCGCGCAGCCTACTTAGTATTAGATCTTTTCTCAGTATATTCACGTGAGTAACCCGCGAATTTTAGTTAATGTAGTATGTCTCGCGATGGTTATTATACAAAGAGTGCGTGTCCGGGCAGGTGGTGTCGTCCGCGGGCACGGTGTGCGTGCGGTACGTGGTGACGTACGTGCACTCGCCGCGTCTGCTGCCCGTCATCGTCACCAACCTCACCACCAACAAGTCCAAGGAGATCCGCTCCACGCTCAGGTTAGTATAATTACTACTTCATCATCATCATTCCCATGCTTCGGCACAAATGGGCCGGCTCGACCGGAGTGATACCACGGCTTACAGAAAACCGACGTGATGCAACGCTTGCGTTGTGTTTCATCGTGTGAGTGAGGTTACTGGAGGCCCAATTACCCCCTTCCTCCAGTCTCCCCAATCCCCAAATCCTCCTCAATCCTCAAATTCCCAATTCCCAAAAGGCCGGTAACGCACTTGTAACGCCTCTGGTGTTGCAGGTGTCCCGGCGACGCCGATTGCTTACCATCAGGTGATCCGTCTGCTCGTTTACCGGCTTATCCCATAAAAAAAATCATCAGCAGTTTCCAAATTACTTGCTTGTGAGAACTTAAAATACCTACTTGTGACCAAAATTAATCATCGGTCGTTACGCAAATTTGAACATAGTGACTAAAAATGGGGGGTTACTCCCGTGAAAATACCTAGAAAACCTCTACTAGTTTCGAGCCATAGAGGGGCTCTTCTTCATGAGCAATATACGACGTCGCGGCGATGTCGCGCAGCCTACAGTAGGGTTTAAGTAGCCCCTCTGTTTCTGGAAACTAGTAGAGCTTTTCTCAGTATTCAACGTGAGTAACCCGCGATTTTTAGTTAATTGTTCAAAGTGACTCGACCGAATATGTACCGGCCCTCACAGAATAGTAATATTAACTGATGACGAATATTATAGCGTATACTCTGATTATTGTGCATTCTGGATGCCCAACGCATTGCTTGATAGGGCTGTCATTTGAGGGACCCTTTCTTCCTCGGAAATAATGGCACTTTTCCTGAGATAAACAATCGACCCCCTCCCCCTCCTTGGTTAATTACAATAGTAGAAGAGGTACCGGTCTTTTCGAGACCCGATGATCCTCCATTATCCTCAAGCATACAGCTGTCACACAAGGCTTCGATTATTCTATTATTCGGTATCACTCCGGTCGAACCAACCCATTCGTGTTTTGTCAAGTTTTTAAAACCAGCTGTGAATGTTCCAAATCTTCTACTCACAAGACAATCAGCGATGCGTCAACGATTCATGGTAGATGTACCCACATGTACGAAGCGCTTCGCATCAAGCTTCCTTGTGCGTACTGCTAAGGAATGGAATTCTTTGCCAGAGTCTGTATTTCCTATAATATAACCTGGGTGTCTTCAAGGTCTTGGAGTGAATAGGTTGCTTACGGGACGACGTGCTCCATCGTAGACCGCATCATCGCTTACCACCACGCGAGATAGTGGTAAAACGTCGCCCCATAAAATATGTAAGAAAAAAAATACAACTTTTGCTTTAAATATTTTTACAGTGAGGTCCTAGTACTAATGTTGGAGAAATGGCCGGCCACGACGATAGAGAAGCAGCAGGCCGCAGTGCGGGACGCGATCCGCCGGGCCTGCGTCGACGCGGACAGTGGCTGCCGGACGTACGGACGGAGGTACTTATAACAATAATTCAAAGAAGTCTTAACAAATACAGGAAATTAAAAGTCGAAGTAACATATCAAAATTTCAACCACAAAAACGGCTCACAACATAACATAATATCACACCTTTTATCCCCGAAGGTAGAGGTGCGCATTACGGCACTCAATGCCACTACAATGTAACACCCACTTTTCTCTATTTATGTTATGAGTTCCATGTAATAGGGGGTGAGTCTATTGTCATATACCGGGCACAATTCCAGACTCCGTGCTACTATTGAGAATTAAAAAAACCCACTACTCCTTTGCCCGACCTGGGTATCGCAGTCGCACTGGCGACCAATTGGCCAACGAGCCAGTCGATCTTAATAACATCAAATAAAATACATATCTAACCAATAATATGTATACAGAGCGTACGCGGCGTACAAGCGTCACTTCCCCGACGACGCGGAGCAGTTGTTCGCTCGCCTGGACTCCGCCGCGCAGAAACAGATCGAGCGGGAGCGGAACATCGGCAGTCTGGACAGTCTGCATCATGTCGGCACTGGTGAGGATATCTTTAGTCCTATTTAAGCCTGGAAACGAGCAGACGGATCACCTGATGGTAAGCAATCTGCGTCGCCCATGGACACCTGGAACACCAGAGGTGTTACAAGTGCGTTTTGGGATTAGGAGTTTGAGGATTGTTGAGGATTCAAGGATTGGGGAGATTGGATACAGGATGGGAAGGGGGTATTTGGGTCTCCGGTAACCTTACTCACACGACGAAACACAACGCAAGCGTTGTTTCAGGTCGGGTTTACGATGGGGCTCACATATCTGTGATAAAAGTCCCTAAAAAGTTTATAGATTAAAAAAATAAATGTCGGTCTTCTGCTCGGCCGTGGTATCACTCCAGTCCGAAGCATGGCTTTTACACACTTTAAAAGTGTTCTAAATAGCTCTGCTAGATAAAAGTATAAAAACGCAGAAAAGTAGTTATTTCAGTCGTTCTTTGAAATTGTATTGATATTATTTATGTGATTTTCTAATCAATAATGTCTTGTTACAGAAAGAAGAGTTATAACAAGTCCTAGAAGTCCATCGGCGAGTGTATCAGGTCAGTATCTTGATAACTAAAATAAATAAATATTACATTTTTGCCCTCGACTAAGGTGCTAGTCAGACGGACCGCATTTCAATTGCAATCCAACCATACACAAACAAGTTTTGTGTTATCTATTTAGTGACTCAGTTCTATAAGTGTTTTTTTTATCTTTAAACCTACTTTATTATCAACTTACTAACCCAAAAACATTCCCCCACGCTGCCTGGACTCTGGTAACTATGACAACCATACACACACATACAAACAGCGTCGACTGAGAACCTAGTATCGGGCGTGAGTAGGTCGGGCTCGCTGCGCAGGCGCCGCGCCTCGCATGAGAGGCCGCCTGTGTCACATATACCCGTCGCCATGGGGAGAGACGGTACATCTATAGTCTATACAATCTACACTACATAATTTAATAATATATTTAAGATTTTTGGACTTACCCCAAAAAGTTATGTTCGTTTTCATCAACCTCTTCTAAATTTTAAGGAATTCCTAAGCTAAGATAGGTGACATTAACGACCCTTTGACTTTTACCAACCTATAAGTGGTAGCTAACAGTATAAGTTAGGGGTTAGTTAAGGTGTTAGATCACGCTAAGTGACATTTAGTTAAGAGATGGTAGTTGATAAAAACGACCATTACCCATTTCACTGTTAGATTAGACAAGGTAACTCGACTAGTTTTGAACTCACTAAGAACTCATAGTCATTAGCAGTGTTGTTACCAGAATACGTCGTCACGTACAGTATACATCACGCCTTTTATCCCCGAAGAGGTGCACGCAGAGGCACCTCTGCGTGCACCTCTTCGGGGATACAGAAGTAACACCTACTTTTCACTATTTATGTTATGAGTCCCATGTAATATGGGGTGAGCCTATTGCCATATACCGGGCACATTTCCAGACTCCGTGCTATATAAAAACTTAGTAGTACTTTGCCCGACCCGGGAATCGAACCCGAGACCCCTTGCCCGGCAGTCGCACTTGCGACCACTCGGCCAACGAGGCAGTCTGTGTATTTAATGGATGAGTATTGTAACGATGAGTATGTATACAGCGGAGCGCGCCCCGGGCGGGGTGACGGCGCGCTCGGTGTCCGCGCTGGACGCGGCGGCCGCGCAGCGAGCGCGCGCGCGGGCACTCTACTCGCACATGGGCCGCAACAAGGTGCCGCCCACCGCCAGCCTGCGTGAGTATCTGTAGCATTACTTAATTGGAGAGGGGGGAGGGGGGTGATGGGTACGTGCTAAGTTTTCAATTCCTACTTCTCCAGTGGTCATCATCATCTTTGAAGACTTCTCCACGGCTATAACACAAAATTAATTTAATTTGATTTAATTTGTGCTCGATTAGTTTCGAGGTATACCGGAGCTTATAAACATGAGGTGCCTGTGCGTCGAACAGACAAAGACTAAGCGTTTGTCAGTGATAGTGTTCAAAATTAGAACGAGATAACAATTACATGAGTAAACTGTCGAACACCGAGCGGTCACCGGTGACCGCAACCTATTGTTCTTTAATTGTGTCTATAATGACGGTACTTAACGAGTTAAAGGTCATTAATAAGTCTAAATATTATGTATCGCAAAATTTGAAAAAAAAACAAATCAAGATGAAAAGTTACTAAACTGAATAATTATAATCTTTCAACTATACAATAAAACTACCGTTGTTAGGTATAATTTATCACAAAACCTTTTATAGTATTTTCAGATTTATTCTTATTTTTATAATTAGCACATTTTGTTTACACAACCAGCTGACGTCATAACTATAACAATATGGCGACCAGTCGTCCTATTTTATTTTGGCAATATTTGTGGTGTCATTATATAGGGACAGTTGTTGGAGGTACTTGGTTTGTTGGTAAAATTAACACTATTTTATTTAATACAGGGTTATTGCTAAAACATTTACTAACGATCATCATAAACAATAACCTTTGTTCTATATACAACATGTAACGTAATTAACGCACACCCTCAAACACCCCAATTAGAATATTATGTTATAATCATAATACATACACTACATTTTTAATTTAACATGTATATGCATCCTTACTGGTCGTCATAAGGTTTATTTTTCTTTATTTTGTATTGAATGATAGAATTTGTATGGATACAAATAAAACTGCGATTTTAAAAGTCTCATTGCTTTGACTTACGGTCCATTTCGATTTGTTTTAACAATACAGGGTTAATATGACAATAAATTCCGTAGTTTTAATAATTCTTGGGATAAAAAATTACCTATACTAAAAATTATATAAATCGATTCAGTTAACGATTTTGAACGAACTATTTTCAGGATGTGCGTTATTTAAGTTACATGTTGTATATTTAAATAATACCGGTGGTTGATATTTCTTTTAATTAATCATTAAATTGAGTTCTGTTTTTATCTTTCATTGTAGATATTTTAATCAAATATAATACGTATTTTTTTCGCAATATAACATAAGTTAATCAAATAATTTATACACCTTCTTCGTATGAGAAGAGGGCTTTGCTCAATAGTAAGACAATACAAACTGATATTATTATTATTATATTCTATGTACAAAATAATATTTATTATGCATGATGATTCAAATCTATTAAATTATTATAGTTTCACACTAGGATACTAAAACATCTCTATATATAAAAGATAGTTTTCTTAGTTACACTACTTATAACTCAAGAACGGCTTAATCGATTTGGATATAAATTGGTGGGGAGGTACCTTAGAACCAGGAGACGGACGTATGACATAGACACTTTTATCCATTTTTTTTTACTTTTACGCCGAAAATCACGTATGTGAACCGGGAAAATAGAATTGCTCGTATGAAGTCGTGGGCAGGAGCTACTTTTACATGTTTTTAACTATATCTCGCTATTAAATGGGGTCTCTACATAAGTGGCAGAATAAAAGTTATATAACATATTTCTGCCTGTCTTATTTAGGGAATAAATAGTAATGAATAAATATTTATTTTACATTATATCCACCCAAAGGTTTGTATTATAACTTTCATGAGACATACTAAATAAATTATTATGTTTTCGGCTTACTCACGTAATAATTTGACGAATAACTCGACTAGTTTCAAGCCATGCTAGATGCTCATATTCATGAGCAGCATTTCGCGATCAGCGACGCGGCAACTGTCGCGCTGCTACTCCGGTGGTATATAATAATTCACGCAAAGGCTGTCTGGTAGAATCACAATCACATAAGTGATAAGACCGCCATTGTGTCCATTATTATTTTTATTTACATTTGTCATTTCCTTTTCTGTACGCACTGGTGTACAATAAAGTTTATTCAATTCTATTCTAATTATTTTGTTATTATGACTAAAATGACTTAAATTAAACAGTTTTCAACATGGTCAGCAATGCACTTGTGATACCCATAGTGTTGTAGGTAGACTTAGACTACTGTCTCCACTTACCGTAAGCTTCGTTGCTAGCGATAATAGTATAAAAAATATATAATTACTTCAACTTCTGCCCGCGACTTTGTCCGCGTTAAATAATGACTAACGCCCGAATACTCAATAACTACTCAATAGGGATGATGACAGGGTATGAAAATAAAAAATCTAATTAGTCCGTCAGTTAGGTAATGAAAAAATATTACACATATATTTTTTTATTTTGTCGTAATAGAAAACAGTACTTAGATAAAACGAATTAAAGTTTAGGAGTAGGAGGTAGCTACGTCATTTTAGAGTGTAAATCCTACTTAAAAGTGACGTCACGAATATTTCAAGTCCATATATCTAAGAAACTATTCGATTCCGTAAGAAAAGAAAAAATTGTCTAATGTTTAACATAATCTACCAGACGGACATTGAAATAAAAATTAGTCATCTACCCTATTGTAACTTGTACTCAAATATCGTACCGTCTCTGTCACTTTACAAAGAATTTGTAGAGACAGAACTATATTAAGCGCGACTATCAAATTGAGTAGCGTTTGAGTATTTCCACATTAGTCTTTCTTAAGCCTTTGACTGCGAACAGAAAACTGCTGAAGGCAAATCCTGCTAACTTAGGTCACCGGTGACCTACACAGCGGTTAACGTTTAATATATTCTATGTTGCTCAGTACCAGCGGCAAGTACCAATGTGACTTTTTCCGAGTTATATGTACTTTCTAAGATTATTCAGACACCACTGACAAACGGTGAAGAAAAACATCGTGAGGAAACCTGGGCTTATATTTCTAATTATAAGTTTGTAATCGCCAACCCGCATTGAGCAAGCATGGTGATTAATGCTCAAACCTTCTCCGTGTGAGAAGAGGCTTTGCTCAGCAGTGGGCATTTATAGGCTGTTGATGATGTTGCTCAGTAAAGATGAGGCTATCTAATAGTGAAGGGTTTTTAAATCGATCCAGTAGTTTTTGTGTGAAAACATTACAAACGTACTTACTTACCTACAGAAACAAAAATACTAGTATAAACATAGAAATTCAAAAACATTACTCCAATATTCACATGGTCATCCTCTTTATATATAATTTTCCAAAAATAACAACACCCATTTTCGTAACTTATTTTTTATACAAAAAACAGTATAAATATTGAGTAAAGTTTTTGAATTTCAGCTTGGACCAGGAATCGTATGGACGAAGATATAACCGAATAATAGAACAATGAAGATTATATATTATACTGTATATTAGTTTTATTATATTGTATAAAACATATGTATAATGTAGGTTAAACGGGTGTAAATAAATAATTATACATTCTTATATTTATATTTGAATTTACGCTTTGCGGAAGAAGGAGACATATCACAACCAGGTATTTTTGTTATTTATTATAGTATATAGTATGTATAATTAGTATATATTTTGAAATATCTTTGAGATTAGTACCTATGAGGGTTCCATGTCCAGGTTGAAAATAGTAGTGTATTATTGAGGTATTTTATTTCGGAATTCTACAAAACCTAAAATTAAATATCGATATCAATTTTGACAAATAGGGTCGCTCTATTACTACAATGGATGGAGTCGCGGAGAACCTAACGGGTTACCGGGACTCCGGCTCGAAGTGCAGGAGTAGGAACGGGGTGGGTTTTAGTCAGTAAGAGTCTGACCTCACTCGCGCCTCACCCAGGCGGGAGCAGTCATTCGATGATATTCCCCTCTTAAAAATAAATACTACAATGGATAGACATTTTTGCTGTCCCACTTGGAGAATAAAAACGTGATATACAATTAATTTCACAAGTCTATTTAAATAATTTCAATTATTTGCAACAGCTTGGCAAAACACACAGTTTGGAATATTTGATTTCGCTAATATCGTACCTGTGACAACCTGGCACACGACTCAATCGGTTTTAATATTTGTTTCGAGTTTAAAAAGAGAAGGTACACACGGCTACACATCGAGCTTTACATAACCAGTATAAACTGAACGTTAAATGTGCGGAAAGATGATGCGACGCGACATCAGGATAAACTGGTTTTGTATAGATTGATGTGTGGCCGTGTGTACTATGTTCGGATTATTGATTATTCATGGGATATAGTCCGCAATGGGTGATCCCAGTCCATGTCAATATTAGTGCCTGAATCTTTGTCATATTAGTATTAATGCTGTATATAGAAAGAAAGAAAAATGGTTAAAATATGTATGTTGATATTATAGAAACGTTTTCCATCGACTCTATTCAGAATCGGCAATAACAGGGTGCTTACTCTTGAACCAATCTCAGTGTCAATGTATCAATCCAATAAAATCTCAATAATTATTCAATGTCAACACTATACAACCACAATCGTAGCTGTTAAAATAGCATTCAAAGTACGGAATATAATCAAACTCAATACCATTTAGTTTATTCAATTCATTCTGGGCTTCACTCAGTTGTCGTCTCTTTTTGTGCCTTTAGGCTTAATTAATTCTGTATCCTGCAGTAATTAACCGAGAAAAGTAGAAACTATCGGTTTTTTTCTTCTCCTCTTATAATATCTTCTAATTCACTTCGTTGCGGGAACCAAGACAGTTATTCATGTCCCTGAGACGCGCCGGACTTCAGTGTTCCTGTGTTTTCATGGTTGTATCTACTGTATCCTGGCTTACAGGAATTGCAGCTGTTTTGGGAGGTTGTGGCGGGCTAATTCCAAAAAAAAAACCAATGTACATTGGAATTGGATTCAAGAGTAAGCCCCCAGATACGACTCTACTTGTCCTATGTCTTTAGCAGTAGTATATTATCATATAGAAAATATCCAAGTACTGTCTAAATCTTAATAAAAATAATTACTTATGTATGTCTATTTTACCAACAGCGCGTGCAAAACGTTCGCCAGTAGCGGCTAGCGGAGTGCCGCCCAGTCCGGAACGGTCCGTCGGCCGGTCTCGGTCCAGACCCGGCGTCTCACAGTCACAACGTAAGTTATTCGATAATATACCTTATTAGTATGGAGTTATGGTTTATATTAGAAGCGTAGCGAAACGCGAAAGAGCGTACTCCTTTTTAAAAGGCCGTCAATGCGCCTGTGACTCCTCTGGTTGCAAGTGTCCATGGGCGGTGCTGATCGCTTACCAGTCCCTTTAGCCAAACGCCACTTAAGCGCTTGTCTACAGAGAGAGTAGAAAACTAAATGTATGGGGATGACACTGACAAGTCTCTAAATTTATGTCAATTCCATAGAATTTGGTTTTCTATTCAACATGTAGACATGCGCTAAATGGCATTTGGCTACAGCTGCTGGTGATCCGTCTGCTCGTTTACAGTCAGGATGTACAGTAGATGTACTGAAATATTGAAGTCCAACGCGTCATAAAGACATGAATAACTGTATTGAATCGTGCAATAAAATAACAGATACCATAAAAATGGAAAAATAGGAGTAGCTTCCACGTATTTGTGCTATTTTTTTTTTTAATTCATTTAATAAACCTTATTTATGTAGCTATTTTGGAGGGGGAAACTCGTCAATGTCTATGATTATCCCCGCCCTGGGTAAGGCGGGAGTGTCAGGCTCTTACTGACTTCATTACCACGTTCTTACTCCTATATGGAGACATAAGCCCCGGAAACATATTATTGCGCTTTATTCGCAACTCCATCTTGATTTTTATATAGAATTAATAAACAATATATTTTATCAACAGCGACATCGCGATCCTCGTCCCCATCATCCCGCAGTAGTGGCCCGCTGTCCCTGGCGAGCGCTCGACGTCGTCCGTCTGGTATACCGCGCTCACTGGCTGGGTCTAGGGAGACCAGCCCTACCAGGTAATGTACCAAACTTGTCTAAAACTTTGTTGTATTGTATCTAGGTTTGTAAAAGCCGTAAATTTAAACATTGTAGGTAAATACTCAAATATATTATTGTAAGTATTTGTAAGACTGATGGCAACGCTGTCGTATTGGAATAGTCAGTGTCTTTAGCCAAACGCCACTTTAGCGCTTGTCTACAGAGAGAGTAGAAAACTGTATGGGGATGACACTGACAAGTGTCAAAATTTACGTCAATTCCATATGATTTGGTTTACTATTCTACATGTAGACAAGTGCTAAATGGCCATTTATTACAGCTGCTGTAATGGTTGTTATTGTTATTAACTGTTAGTATTAAATAAGTAAAAAATTAATCATATTAATATTTGTCAGTCGAAACGTCTATTGTTGAAACTAAGACCTTCCAAAGTTATCAACACATCAATAGCCTATAAGTTGCCATTGCTGCGCAAAGGCTTCTTCTCATACAGAGTAGTTTGAGCATTAATTACCATGCTTACTCAATTGGCGATTTCATACTTATAATTAGATATTATAAGCTCAGGTTTCTTCGCGATGTTTTCCTTCACCGTTTGTCAGTGGTGTCTAAATAATCTTAGAAAGTACATATAACTCGGAAAAAGTCACATTGATGCTTAGTAGGTTTCGGAGCCGCACCCTTATGCATGACACAAACTATGTACTATAAAAAGGTTACAATAAAAAACAAAAGGAAAAACTTGCTTACATATTTTTGGCCGTTTACCACTGAAATTAGGCATCTTGAAATGTATAGTAATGTCTTTGGTGTATCCCCAGGAGTGGCAGGTCCAGCAGCGTGGCGGGCGCAGGCGTGCGACGTCGCGAGTCCATGGAGCGCACCGCGCCCAGCCGCGCGCCCGCCGCCACGCTGCGTCTACTGCAGCAGACCAGGGACGCAGAGGCACTGCTCCGGGTACGCACATACTTACTTTATTACTTTACCACGCTGCGCCTGCTGCAGCAGACCAGGGACGCAGAGGCACTGCTCCGGGTACGCACATACTTACTTTATTACTTTACCACGCTGCGCCTGCTGCAGCAGACCAGGGACGCAGAGGCACTGCTCCGGGTACGCACATACTTACTTTATTACTTTACCACGCTGCGCCTGCTGCAGCAGACCAGGGACGCAGAGGCACTGCTCCGGGTACGCACATACTTACTTTATTACTTTACCACGCTGCGCCTGCTGCAGCAGACCAGGGACGCAGAGGCACTGCTCCGGGTACGCACATACTTACTTTATTACTTTACCACGCTGCGCCTGCTGCAGCAGACCAGGGACGCAGAGGCACTGCTCCGGGTACGCACATACTTATTTCAATACTTAACCATCTCATTATTACAATAACTTCACATCACGGCTTTTATCCCCGACTGGGTAGACAGAGGTGCACATTACGGCACTATACAATGTAACACTTTTCACTTTTCCTATTGCCATATACCAGGAATCGAACCCCTTGTCGTTATGGTTTCCATACTTTCCACACTTGATGGACGACTTCAGGATCGCAGTTTATATCACTCAAATATTAATGTATGAGACTCGATGGCAATTATAGTAGTAATTATTATAGGACTCGGTGCCTGGGCAACCGGCTGCCGCGCACCGTGTAGCGAGTTCGATTCCCGCACGGAGCAACTCTTTGTGTGATCCACATTGATTGTTGTTCCTGGTTTGGGTGCCACGTGAATATGAACTTATATGAAAATCCGAATGTGGGGCAATATTTTTTTTTAAGTAGAAGTATGTACCAAAGTAAGATTACTAAATTTCATTTCGTTTGTTCCCCCAGAGTCCGGAAGACAGTTCAGCCTGCGAGGGAGGTCGTGGTCGGGACGATGACTCCGAGGCTTCCAGCGTCTGTTCAGAACGTAGCCTCGACTCTTATAGGAGACATGATGTAAGTAACACCTACTATAATGTCATTCCAATATAGTCAATCTATCTGTTAAGTAGTAAAAGATTTTAAAAATTGATTGAAATATGCGGTTTATTCAATTCAACTGACCTTGAATTACTTTGATGTGTAAAAATGCTACTTTGTAGCCTGTTTGCACAAAAAAAAAACAATCATACAGCTAACTAATAAAAAAACTAAGTATATTTGTAATTTGTTTTTAAATAAATTATTATGTTTTCGGCTTACTCACGTAATAATTTGATGAGGAACTCGACTAGTTTCAAGCCATGCTAGAGGCTCAAATTCATGAGCAGCATTTCGCGACCCGCGACGCGGTAACTGTCGCGGTGCTACTGGCTACTCGAGTCTGCGGGCCCAGCGCGCCCTCTGCCGTGATTTATATTTGTATTAATTAAAAATCTCGGGTTACTCACATGAATATTTGCATTCACGTGAGTAACCCGCGATTTGTAATTAATTTAGTATGTCTCACGATAGTTATCTTATCTTATACTTATTATATAAAGCGGAAGAGTTTGTTTTTTTGTTTGTTTGTTTGAACGCGCTAATCTCCGTAACTATAAGTCGGATTTTAATAATTCTTATTGTGTTGGATAGCGCATTTAGCGAGGATAGCTATAGGCTATAAAACATCACGCTACGACCAAGTAAAGCGTGTGAAACCGCGCGGAAGTAGCTAGTTATAAAAATATATTTGTATTATAACTCTCAGGAGACATACTAATTAATTATTGTTTTTGTCTTTCAACCCCAACAGTCAGTATCATGGTCCGGCTCCGCGTCTCGCCTCGGCTGGGAGTGTGGGTCCCCTCCCCCTCCCCCTCCGCCGGACGACATCATCGCGCTCTGCGCCTGTACGCACTGGACTGAACGGAAGGATGGACTTACGCATTTGGTAAGTAATAAAATAATAATCCAACCAAACATTCTGTAAAATACTCACCACCAGCCAATGGCGAGATAGTTGCGCACAAACATGTAGACTTACATTATTTTTTTAAACGTTGCCCCACACTCGTATTGTCCCCTGTGTCGTGTATGTGTTTACAACCATACAAGTTCACATACACATGACACACAGACCCGGAACAACAATCTGTGGATCACGCAAAGAGTTGCTCCGTGCGGGAATCGCGCGACGCGTTGCGCGACAGTCAGTTGCTTAACCACCGCGTCAACCGAGTAGTCAAAACACATATACAGGTCAAGAAAAAACCACCGTTTTTGAAGTCGGTTCAAAAGTATCCTACATCTGTCTCTTGGTTTTAAGCTACCTCCCCACTAATTTTTATATAAATCAATTTAGCTATTCTTGGTTTATAAATAGGGTAACTAACACGACTATCTTTTATATAGATTTAAATACATACCATAACATTACGCTTTTTATCCCCGAAGATGTAGGCTTCGTGCACATTACGGCACTTACTGCCAATGTAGAATGTAACACCCACTTTTTACTATTTATGTTATGAGTCCCATGTAATAGGAGGTGAGCCTATTGCCATATACCGGGCACATTTCCAAACTCCGTGCTATTATTGAGAATTAAAAAAAAACCAACATTACTTTGCCCGACCCGAGAATTTAATCCGAGACCCCTTGCCCGGCAGACGTCCTTGTGACCACTCGGCTAACGAGGCAGTTAAATAATCTATTCAAATAACAGAATCAAGTCTTTGACCTCACCTAAGTGGCAGAAAACTGTCGTGAAGCAACGCTTGTGTTGTGTTTGACCCCTTTGCCCGGCAGTCGCCTCGCACTTGCGACCACTCCAACGAGGAGTGTAGTATAATAATAATAATGTACTGGTGTGTCCAGGCCAACTACCTGAACAGCGGGCGCCTGCTGACAGACGAGCAGCTGCGTCGCCTGACGGACTTGTTGAACAAGATGTTCGTGGACGCACACACCAAGGTCTTCTCGCTGCTGCTGGACGCCGTCTGCGAGCTCTTGCTGGTCCACTGGCAGCAGCTCAAGGACTGGCTTTATCAACTAATGTTCAGGTACGTCGATTTTATTTGTGGTACATGTCAATGGATGACGTCACAAGAATCCTACATCGCACATGCAAAGTTTACATGCAAATTAACATGGATAGAAAACTGTTGGGCAGAAAGCCCGCCAGGCACGAACACCTCGCCTGGTCGGAGGATCCTCCTTTTCCGATCTTAGGGAACTATACTCTCTGTTCCCTAAGTTTTTATATATAGTGTCCAGAAAATAATGCGTCATACTGTAAGGGCTGATAGCTGGGACCAATACCTACCTAAACAACACAGTGTATGTTCAGCAAAAATTTATGGTTTAAAAATTATACCACATTATATTTTATCTCCGAAGGGGTAGGCATAGGTGCATATTATGCCACTGTACAATGTAACACCCACTTTTCACTATTTATATTATGAGTCCCATGTATTAGGGGGTGAGCCTATTGCCAAATACCGGGCACAATTCCAGACTCCGAGCTACTACTGAGTATTTAAAAAAACAAGTAACTTTGTCCGACCCGGGAATCGAACACGAGACCCTTTGCCCAGCAGTCGCACTTGCGACCACTAGGCCAACGAGGCAGTAAAAATTATACCACATTTTTTAATATATCGACAAATCACTATCTTGACACACGTCTTTTGGCGTATATCTCACTGAAAACTGTCTGTCAAGCTTGGGGATTATGGCAAAATTAATTAAAACTTAAAATTATAAACTTTTATTTAGTGTTGTTTCTATCTAATACATAACTACACGTCTGTCTCCCATGGGGGTAGGCAGAGACTATGGAACGCCAATTACTACGATTCCTACATACATCTTTCGCTTCATCAACAGTCATCAATCTTTTCATGCATGCTCGTCGGTTAAGGGTACTTTTAATATATTGTTTTTTTTTTTTCGTATTTCCAGACTCCTAATGAAGCTAGGCACGGATATCCTCGGCTCCGTGCAGAGTAAGATCATGAAGACATTGGACGTCATACACGAGTGCTTCCCCGCCGAGCTACAACTGCACAATATATTCAGGTACGTGTTGTACCCGGAGTTAGGCATTAAGGAGTAGCCACAGAATCATATCAATAGGGCTGATGACAGTCGCGGAGAATCTAACGGGTAACCGGGGCTCCGGCTCGACGTGCAGGAGAAGGAACGGGGTGGTTTTTAGTCAGTAAGAGTCTGACACTCCCTTCCGTCTCATCCAGGCGGGAGCAGTCATTCGATGATTTACCCCCTTACAAAAAAGGGCTGAAGACAGGGTATGAAAATTAAACATGTAATTAGTCCGTCAGTTAAATAATGAAAAATATTAAACACATATTTTTTTATTTTGTCGTATAATAAAATGATACTTAGATATAACGAATTAAAGTTCAGGACTGGGGGCTAAAACGTCGTTTCTACGTATAAAATGTACATAGAAGCGAGGTCACGCGATATTTCAAATCAATATATCGTCGAAAGTATACGTTTCTGTAAGAAAATAAAAAATACGTGTGTAATGTTTTAGACTTCGTATTGCCAAAATTTTTTTTTCTCATCTTTTAAACCTCCCTGGACTTCCGCGAAGACCAAAATTAACCAAATCGGTTCAGCCGTTCTCGAGTTTTGGCGAGACTAACGAACGGAAATTCTTTTTTATTTATATATAGGTAACACCGTCATTGCATGCTTATCCCATAGTTTAATGCTAAGAGTATCACAATAACTGTTCTCATAATCAGTGGGGATGAATTCCCACACACACATCACATGTTGTAAACAACGTATGAGGAAAATGCTCCTATCAATATGTAATATACCAGAATATGGTAAAGGAAAACATCGTGAAGAAACCGATGCTTATAATTTCTAATTATAAGTTTAAAATCGCCAACCCGCATTCAGTAAGCGTGGTGATTAATGCTCTCAAACCTTATTCGTGTGAGAAGAGGCCTTATCTGCAGTGGACACTTATAGGCTGTTGATAATAAATTTCCATTGATTGCCACAATTAAATTAACTATCTTTCTTCCCCCCAGGTTCCTAGCAGATGGCGCGACAGCCCCGACCCCCAAAACGAAGGCGGCCGCGCTCCGGTTCCTGGCTGACCTGGCTCACGATTACTGCACTCCTAACAGTCTCGCACTAGCTTTGCATGGTACGTATTGTGTTTTTATAATAACTATCGTGAGACATACTAAATTAACTAAAAATCGCTGGTTACTCACGTGAATATATTGAGAAAAGTTGTACTAGTTTCGAACCACAGAGGCGCTCTTCCTCATAAGCAGCGTGTGCGGTCGCGGCGACTTAGCTAAGTAGAGCTTTTTTCGATATAAAAGTGATTTTCCTTTTTTTTGAAAATGATTATAGAGACGTTTCGGAATCCATTTACGAAACTCGGCTATGGGGCAAAGGCGGGAGTTTGATCTTTTGACCGTCGCGGTCGACTAGAGCCAATAAAGTAAAGTAAAGTAAATCTCACTGCACGGTTGGTGCGGTGGCTGGGCAACCGGCTGCCGTGCAACGTGTCGCGGGTTCGATTCCCGCACGGAACAACACTTTGTGTGATCCACAAATTCTTGTTTCGGGTCTGGGTGTCATTGTGTATGTGAATTTGTATGTTTGTAAATGCACCCACGACACAGGAGAAAATCCTGGTGTGGGGCAACGTTAAGAAAAAAAAAATATTCGCGTAAAACATGGTATACATTGGTGTTAATATTATTATAATAGCTCAACATGTTTTGCTAAGATAAACCATTGCATGCAAAAGTTTATTATTTTGACAGAAGTGAGCAGGTACAAGTACAGTTAAACTATATGTACTTAAAAATCATGGTTTCTTGTCGACTGTGGCCGAACGTGACGGATCACTTCATGTTTTGTTTGTCGACTATAGCCGATCGTGGTGTTCAGTAGGACGTGTTTTTGTATATTATTTATTGAATGACTCCCCAGGCGGCGCGACGGGCGTGGCAGGCCGTGCGCTAGTGAAGGTGTCGTCGCTGGCGGGCGACCCGCGCGCCGCCGACGTCCGCGTCAGTGCGCGCCGGGCACTCGCCTCGCTCTACGACTGTAACCCAGTACCCGTGAGTATATTCTTGTTGTTCAATAAATTTTCCTCTGAAAATCACATCAATATCGGTTCGAGATTATCGCAGATAGACATGCAGGTTAAACTGAGAACTTTAATCTTTTTAAGTCAATTAATCACAGCCGTCAAGTGATTAAAAAAAAATTAGGAATGGTTTTTTTAACATAGGACGGCAAATGAACTGACTACCACCTGATGGTAAGCAATTAAGCCCATGGACACTCGCGACATCAAAGGACGTATAAATGCGTTGCTGACCTTTTAGAAGGGGAATAGGGTAGTTTCCTAAATTTTATTTTAATGTCCGTCTGGTAGATTAATTTAAAACATTAGACACGTATTTTTTCTTTTCTCACAATATTAAATACTTTCGACGATGTATTATTTTGAAATATTGTGTAACGTGACGTCATGTAATCTTAAATTTTATTACATATAACATATATATAACATCACGCCTTTTATCGCCGAAAGGATAGGCAGAGGTGCACATTATGCCACTCATTCATTCATTCATATATGCTTTATTGTACACATTTATGTAGTTTAAAACAAACAATTCAAGTAAATATGCGTACAATGGGCGGTCTTATCACACAATGGTGATTTCTTCCAGACAACCTTTGGATGGAAATATTTGTAAGAAACCAGATAAGGGGTAGTTACGTGTACAATAAAATAAAAAAAAAAAAAATATTTATGTTATGAGTCCCAAGTAATAAATAGTTGAGTGGTGAGCCTATTGCCATCTTAAATTTTACTGGGTTTTTATTTAAATTCTCAGCATATGACAATAGGCTCACCCCCTATTGCATGGAGATCATTAAAAAACAGTGAAAAGTGTGTGTTACATTGTACAGTGGCATTAAGTGCCGTAGTGTGCACCTCTGTCCATATATATGTATATAAATAATTCTGTGTATGTGTTTACAGTTCACGGCGCTTATGAGCGAGTTACCAGCAGAGACGCAGGCGCTAGTCAATGGAGTAGTACAACAACATGTACGGAGGACGTCAAGCAGTGAGTGTCATATACTATTTCTTACTAGCTTCAACCAGTTCGCTCGCGTTCTAAAATGTAGCCTAAGTATTATTCTAGACTATAACCTACTCTTGTTTTAAAGTAGCCTGTAACATGGCTTGAAACTAGTTAATCGTCAAACAGTTACGTGAGTGAGCCGAAAACATAATAATTAATACAGATTATAGTCTAGAATGTCGTTGTGGCCCGGAGGTTTAAGACGCAAGTACCAATGTGACTTTTTCCGAGTTATATGTACTTTCTAAGATTATTTAGACACCACTGATAAAGGTGAAGGAAAACATCGTGAGGAAACCTTAGCTTACAATTTCTAATTATAAGTTTGTAACCGCCAACCCGCATTAAGCAAGCGTGGCGATTAATGCTCAAACCTTCTCAGTGTGAGAAGACGGCTTTGCTCAGTAGTGGGCATGTATGTGTAAAATGAAATAGTGTAGAATGTCCCCTGCCCCAGCAGGCTCGGACAGCCCGCTGCGGTCTGCGAGCGGCGCGGGCGCGGGCGCGGGCGCGGCGGCCGACGACGTGTACTCGCGCATCCGGAAGACTACCTCCGAGATACATTCCTACACCGCGCAGCACAGCAACGGTACGTACTGCATTTTGATAATGGTATTCATAAAATCATAAGTTAGGTTGGGTTAACAATAGACTCACCCCCTATTACATGGGACTCATAACATAAATAGAGAAAAGTGGGTGTTACACTGTACAGTGGCATAATGTGCCTACCCCTTCGGGGATAAATGGCGTGATGTTATGTGTGTTATGTGCCATAAGTTATAATCCTATTTTACCTATAAATTAGTTGCCAACTAGTCAAATTCAATACTTTTATCGAAACGTCAAAAACGATACGTTCTAAGAATTTTGTACGAAATACCATCTTATGACGTCATCATATTTTCGCGTCAAATAGTACACTTATAAGTAAAAACAATGCTAGAATAAATCGAAAATTAAGTATATCGGCCAATCAATGAATGAAAGTGTAACAATTTTTCAATATTTAATTGGAATGATAAATAAAAATAATTTATTTTTGACCCAGGAATCTACCTAATTAAAACTTAATACTTTAATTCCAGCGGACTGCGGTAACCACATGTCGAGCAAGGACTCGGGTATCAGCCAGATGTCTGACGTCACGCTCTCTAACAAGGGACACAATGGAGTGCCCAATGGACATTACAGCGCGTTAGTATATTCTTTTATTATATTTTGTGGCTGTTTGAGCGTTAAATAAAAGTCAAGTCAAAGTCAAACTCATTTTGATGATGGACTTGATCAAAATGACTGCACGGTTGGTGCGGTGGCTGGGCAACCGGCGGCCGTGCAACGTGTCGCGGGTTTGATTCTCGCACGGAACAACACTTTGTGTGATCCACAAATTGTTGTTCCGGGTCTATGTGTCATGTGTATATGAACTTGTATAGTTGTAAACGTACCCACGACACAGGACAAAATCCTAATGTGGGGCAACATTTAAAAAAAAATAAAATTATTTCAATTAGACCAGGAAGGCACTTATCGACGTCAACAACAAAAATTTTAAAGTGAAGCTAGTTGCTCATTCCAAAGTGTAGATTCCTATGGAGAAGAATGAGCAAGAAACTCCATAGGTTACTCTTTTTCAATCAGGTTTACAATACAATTCTCTAGTTACATAGTTTTATTGGTTCGATTGTGTGAGAACAACATCTAAATTCAGTCAAAGAGTCCAGTTCCAGTTTATGAGTACTTTTTGAAGTAATGTATTGTGATTAGTTTTGTTATTCAACTAGTTTCAATAGATATGGGCTCCGGTTACTGTCGAAATTAGTTGGGCATTCCCGTAATAAAGTAAGATAATTATTTTGCCACAGATTTTCTTTTGTGTTGTAGGTGTGTTGACAAAACATTTGTTTACATATAGACCTAGAAAAGAATTGTAGATTCCGTCTTGGAATCGAACCCAACATTGTATAGTTTTTAGCCATTCATTATTAATTACTTTCACACGCTGGAAGGATTGTGTTGGTCGTAGCGTGATGTTATACAGCCTACAGCCTTCTTTGATAATTCGAGCCAGTAGCTCCGGAGAATGGGGAACTACGGATGGGGCCTAAAATAGGGCTGATGACCGATACGAAGCCGCGGAAGACTTAACGGGTTACCGGGGCTCCGGCTCGAAATGCAGGAGTAGGTTTTTAGTCAGTAAGAGTCTGACACTCCCTCCCGCCTCACCCGGGCAGACAATGTCATTGCATGATTTTCCCCCTCAAAAAAATGTTCCGAAGAATAATATATTTGTTTGTTTTCCAGTGAGACGTTAAACCGCGCGGCGTCAGCAGACAGTTCTGAGGAGGCGAACAGTACGAAGGAGTCCTCGCCAGTACCCGCACATCACAGACTCGACTTCCATACCCACGGGTGAGTCGCAACTGATTGATTCTACGTTTTCATACATTAACATAACATCACGCCCTTTATGTCCGAAGGGGTGAGGTGCACATTACGGCACTTAAGGTTACACTAGTCGATATTTTTTCCATAGAAAGTTCGGGGTGGTATTACTCCACAGTGTGAATTTGTATCTCCAAAATTAAACACGACAACGTTTTATCTTGTAATTACATTTGTCGGTACGGAAACAAAAAAAAATAAAAAATAATGATTAAAAAGTTATGAGCCACCAAAGTTTTGTTTTTCATGACAATTTTGACGCAACTTCGGGTGTTAAAAAGTACCACTAATCGTGTAAAATCTCCAAATCGTAGACCGTACCGACACAGCACAATTACCAGAGAGTTCTATAAAATTTATTTCAAATTGATCTAAGCAGTGGTTTTTTCAAAAATCGCTATTTTCTAAAGCACTAAATCGTATTTTTATACGCACTCGTTTTACGATGAATTATCGTGCATTTCATTTGATAAAATTCCCCCGGCGGCGGCGCGGGGCGGAGGGAAGACGCTCACGCGTTTTTGCACAATTTTTTGCACGACAGCGCGTGTCGTGCAAACCATTAGACTATTTTCTATTGTTTTTAACCGACTTCAAAAAAGGAGGAGGTTATACGTTCGGCCGATATGTTGCTTTTTTTTTTTTGTATGTATGTACGCGCATAACTCTGAGATGCGTGAAGCGATTTGCAAAATTTTTGTTTTGTTGGAAAGGGTATACTCCCAAGATGGTCCCATTTCCATGAGGTCAGGATCTGATGATGGGATCCTAGGGAAACCGAGGGGAACTTTCGAAAATTATATAGGCGAGTGATGCGTCTATTATGTTTTTCAATTAGGATTTTTAAACACTACAATTTGATAAGGGTCTGGAGTCGACCTGATGATGGAGCCGATAGACAGTCAAGGGAACTTCTCAGCGGTTTATACTAACTACCTTGTGTTTGGGCTTGATTAATTTGTATTGATGAGGACTTTACACCTAGATAGAGTGGGGCTGTCATTAAAGGTCTGATGATGAAGAAGTGTAATTGCTAAGTGAACTCCTCAACGGTATACAGTAACTACCTTGTGTTTGGGCTTGATTAATTTGTATTGATGAGGACTTTACACCTAGATAGAGTAGGGCTGTCATTAAGGGTCTGATGATGAAGAAGTATAATTGTTAAGGGAACTCCTCAACGGTATACTGTAACTACCTTGTGTTTAGGCTTGTATAATTTGTATTGATTAGAACTTTGCACCTATGTAGATTATAAGTAACAAAACGGGTATATGTAGCTTTACACTGAAAATGATAAAGTAATAAAATAAAAACTGCGTTTAAAAAACCGACGTCAAAAAAACCAAAAACTAATAACAAACAAAAAGTCTAAACTAAAAAGCAAAAAATAACTATTATTAGTACTTTTTTTTTTTTTTTTTTTTTTTAAGGGGGGAAAATCATCGAATGACTGCTCCCGCCTGGGTGAGGCGGAAGGGAGTGTCAGACTCTTACTGACTAAAAACCACCCCGTTCCTTCTCCTGCACGTCGAGCCGGAGCCCCGGTTACCCGTTAGGTTCTCCGCGACTCCGAATCGGCATCGGCCCTATTGGGCCCCATCTGTGGTGGTCTGATGGCTCTTTGAGGCGCGCGCGGAACGCGACGCGCCGTACGCTCGGGTCTGTTTCTGGTCGGACGGGGAGCCACCCATGCTCGCCGTCCGCAGGCCCGCGCTTACGGTGGCCGGAGATCGTCCCGCGATCCCCGACGCCCGGTGTGTCCTTCGCGATGGCTGGGTCGCGAGGAGGCAGCGCTTCGCTGCCTCACGCGTCCCGCCTCCTCCTTAGCTAGCATGACTGCTTCGCAAAAGGAGGAGACGGCATCCCAGTCCCCCTCGCTCCGCATCATGGCCTGCACTAGGCCCGGACGCGAGAGGTCGCCATCGCCGATCACTTCCCTGAGGGCACGGCGGTGCTCAGCCCACGCAGGGCATTCCGCTACGGTGTGTTCCACCGTGTCCTCAGGGCGGTCCTCGCAGTGATGACACCCGGGCGTTTCCTCCCGCCCCATCAGACACAGGTACCTCCCGAAACTTCCATGTCCGGTGAGGACCTGCGTCAGGCGGTAGGTGAGGACGCCGTAGCGTCTCTCAAGCCACTCCTCAAAGAGGGGACTTACCGCTGCAATGGCAGCGAGCCCAAACTATTATTAGTACTGATAGGTTACCCACCCACTGATAGGTTAGAAGTCGGTGCCATAAGTTCCATACCTATATAGGTAGGTACTTACTCGTGGCTTCGTTTGTAAGTAAACTGTCCGTAGGTATTATAGTGCGAGGTGTACGATACTTATATTATTTATCGTAAAATCGATATACCTATACTAAACAATGTAAATAAATTGCAGTGTCAGTTTGTACCAAATATTAAAATAGGTACCTCCCTACATAGATTTTTTCATACTCACACGGCTATTTGCACGATAAGTAGGTAAAAAAAACTACTTATTCCTTTGGACATAGGTACCTACGTATAACAAACAGAAAGACAGATAGACAGAAAAAACAAATAAATAGTTTTTAAACCCATTTTTAATTTATTTATTTTTGTATTTTTCCTATTTATTTTTCCGTCTGTCTGTCTTTCTATTTGTTCAGGTCAATGTTCAATTCGGCTGGACCGAATTGATATTTTACTAGCAGGTACACTACGTTTACGTACCTACGGTACCTATGCTTTTTTAGCCATCCTTCCTAAATAATACCTAAGTAATAATAATATAATAATAATATTCCACAATATCACACAACTCTGTACCTACGCTGTCCAGTCCCAAACTAAGCAGAGCTTGTGTTATGTGTAGATAGGTACCTACTAGACAACAGATATACATAGGTACTTAGAGGTATATTTCTAAATATTTCCATATTATTATAATTAGATAAAAACACCCAGACAGAAGAAATGATCATGCTTATTATAAATCAAACTTTACCTCTTTAGGCTCTTTATAATAAATTGTTGTAGATTACCGCAAGTAGGAATATTGATAATATCAACGGGCAACAGCCAAGCCGAATGTTTTCGCACAAAATACATAGGTACAGAAGTCAATCTCATGTAGGTATGTACCTGCTTCACTGTTTATACCTACGTGCTCGAGCGCGCTTTGTATGTAGTTATACCATAGAACTAACTATAGGTACCTTTATATTTTGTGGCTATCGCGCTCCGTGAGAACTCGATTGGGGTTGTCAACTGTACTTTTTATTACGTTTCTTACTTTATTTTTAGCAAGTAAACATACTTTTAGGTAATTACCTACTTTTACGAAAACTAAACAAATACAACAAATATTGTAGGTACCTATTAGGTTTAGTAGGTACATAAAGTTATTGGTACTTAGAAAAAAAAGTAACTGCTTACCTACAGAATTATATCCCTAGCCTTTCGTAGATTCATCGGATATTGTGTTATCAACTTTTCATAAAAAAATTTCAGTAAGTACAATGCCCTGTGACAATAATTACTAAAATTCATGCGAGCATCATAAAATCGTAGCAGCGCGTACGACTTTACTACGAGTAAACACAACCAGCACAGATATATGCACCGTTCAGTGACGTTTTGCTGTGTTTGTGTGCGTGCGAACAATACGTCGTGCAAATAGATAGCGTCTAACTGCTCATCACTGGTACTATTTCTGTCGCACACGATGTTAGATGAGACAGCGCGCTTTTTGGCCACGCCCTTGATTGAGTTCGAGCCCGCGACTAGTTTAACCTTAATGCCAATGTACAATGTAACACCCACTTTTCACTATTTATGTTACGAGTCCTATGTATTACAGGGTGAACCTATTGCCATATACCGGGCACATTTCCAGACTACGTCCTACTACAGAGTTTTTCTTTTAAAACCCAGTAATAATTCACTTTGCCCAATGCGAGACCCTTTGCCCGACAGTCGCACTTGCGACCACTCCGCCAATGAGGAAGTCGGATATATATCATACTTTCTTTTATTAATTTGACTATAATATACTTAGTTATCGCATCTTTTAATAAATAAGTTCGTGATACTTAGTATAAAAACTTATACTAAGTATAAAATTCACAGAGAATTGATAAAATTCTCGTTTGTTAAAAATACATTGTATTTGACTCTTTCAAATTGAGTACATACAGTATTCTAAATTAACTAAAACTAAGGTTACTCACGTGAATATACTGAGAAAAGGTCTACTAGTTTCGAACCACAGAGGGGGTTCTTCCTCATAAGTAGAGTGCGCGGTCGCGGCGACGTGAAGGAGGAAAGAGGAAGAACCCCTCTGTGGTTTGAAACTAGTAGAGTTTTGCTCAGTATATTCACGTGAGTAACCCGCGATTTTAGTTAATTTAGTATGTCTCACGATAGTTACTATAAAAAATATACAGTATTCTTTTGACGGTATTGTTTCGACGACATACCTAATTTATATATCGTTTTTGCTCGCAGGGAGTTCAACTCTAGTCAGCTGGGACGCGACAAGATCCGCCCGTACGAGACCGACGAGAACGGATACATTATTACTAAATGTAAGTATTGTTTTATTTTTTATTTATTTATTAAATCTTTATTGCACATACAGTGAAATTGGCGGACTTAATGCCGTAGGCATTTTCTGACAGTCGACCATTGGGTGGTGCAGAATGTTAAAGCGGTAGGTGCAAAATTGTAAAAAGAAAGTATGAAGTAGATAACGAAGTTAAGGTAATAAAATATTAGAGAGGGAAGACATGATTATTATAGTCGATAATACATAACTAAGGGTATAGGGTCTTAAAATGAATTATATATAATAAATATATATCCCAAATATGCATACATATAATATGGTATAGTTACTATATAATACATACATATATAAATAAATGCAATACATAGACTACATATTATCACTGGTTTGAGTATTGTTATAAAACACTAGCTTCTACCCCCGACTTCGTAAGCGCAGTCCCGTTTTCTCCCGTTCCCGTAGGATTATCAGGATTTTTTCTGTCGTAAGAACCTTCTTCTGACAATAACAAACACAACAAAAAAAAGATCAGCCAAATCGGTCTAGCCGTTCTCAAGTAATGGCGTGACAACGGGAAACGGGTTTCATTTTTATATACAACAACATGTAACTTAAATAACGCACATCCTGAAAATAGTTTGTTCAGAATCGTTAATTCAATCGATTTATATAATTTTTAGTATAGGTAATTTTTTATCCCAAAAATAATTGAAACTACGGAAATTATTGTCATATTAACCCTGTATTGTTAAAACAAATCGAAATGGATTGTATGTAAGTCAAAGCAATGAGACTTTTAAAATCGCAGTTTTATTTGGATTCAAACAAATTCTATCATTTAATACAAAATAAAGAAAATAAACCTCATGATAAGGCCAGTAAGGATGCATATACGTATACGTATGTTAAATTAAAAATTTAGTGTATGTATTATGATTATAACATAATATTTTAATTGGGGTGTTTGAGGGTGTGCGTTAATTACGTTACATGTTGTATATAGATAGTCTTAAACTCTCTTTTTTGTCTCAGAACGTTACAATATTTCATGAAATCCAGAAAGTTTCTATAAAATACTATATAAAAGGTTTAAGAATACAAATAGTGGTCTGTGAGAAATTCGTTACTCGAGTGTTTCATCAGTTCAGGGAGTTTGCTGCATGGCACCGGTAATATATAATAAAATACCAAGCTGTTGGAAGGAATATAATGTGACATTATTTAAAAAAAGACAGGAATTTTTTACTTGACAAAGTTTATTATAGTATTGCAGATTGGAGAAAGAAATTGTTAAAAAGTGTAAAACTTTTGCATGCCTTATAATTGGCAAAAAATTGTTGTTTCTGTATTTTTTATTATGCACTACCATGACATGTACCCATATTTGCGAAATAAAATATCTTTTATCTTTTACGTTTTATCACATTTTGTTCGCAAGTAGACCAGACGCATCGTAAACTGCAACATCGCTTACCACCAGGCGAGATACTGGTCAAACGTTGGCCCATCTAATATATAAAAAATCTCAGAAAGGATTAAAGATTAAAAGTTTTTGGAGAACACTGGAATTTATACCAAAGGCATTCTGTCTAAGGTTGATTACTTGCCGGCAGCGGTGGCCAGTGGGTTTCTTAATACTAGGATCACTGAGTCTCCGCGAAGGAACATCTTTGGTACTTCAGTCCACATTTCCTTGACGTTTTCAAGTACAATGTGGCAATGCCGGTCGAGATGCTGGTCGAAGTCATTTGATGAAATATTATTTATCCTTGCAGCGGGCCTGCGCGAGCCGGAGGTCCTGGAGGCGCTGTGCAAGCTGGACGTCGGCGCCGCGCCGCCCGAGCACTGGGAGCGACTACTGCTGGCCACCCACGAACTGCTCAAGTACGGCGACTGCAGGAAGCCCGCCGAGTACTTCAAGTTAGTATACAGTCTAGTTTACGAGCACTGGGAGCGACTACTGCGAGCAAGGCGAGCAAGGGTAGCTCGCCGCCCGACCAGAACCACCCGAGCGTACGGCACCACGCAGACCACCACGGATCCCCATCCCAGTAAGGCTAATTGCCCGATACAGAGCCGCGGAAGTCTGTATCGGGCAATCAAGCCGTGGCTCTGGCTCGAAGAGCAGGAGTAGGAACGGGGTGGTTTTTAGTCAGTAAGAGTCTGACACTGCGTCTCGCCTACCTCAAGGCGAAAGAAGACAGGATGATTCTCCCCCCTCAAAAAAACACACCTTATCCTCTTCGGAAATTATGAAATATTATTTCACATGTATTATTTTGGATACTTACAGGAACATAGTACGAGTGGCGCTAGCGGCGTTGTCTATAGATGAGAATTCAGGAGACAAAGAAAATACTGAAAACGCGAGCAACGCGCAGCAGACTTCAGGTTAGTTATTGCATGATTAAACAGCATTTTTCTCAAATGTTAACTCGTCGACTACCGGTTTTATAGACACAATTAAAGAACAATAGGTTGCGGTCACCGGTGACCGCTTGGTGTTTGACAGTTTAATTCTACATAAATTGTATATTAAAATTGACTTAATTGCCTGTTTAAGTATGCCATAATGTAAATTAAGGACCCCGTTGTAGCTCGAAAGTATGCGAAAACGTCCGAAAGAATACGTAAATGAACCACATACATATTTTTAATTCGATATGTCACGTGCATTAAACAAATGTTATTATATGACTATTTTAAATATAACAAAATAGTAAATCGTACACTTTGAAGAAAACCTAAACTTCACTAAGGGACTTCCAAACATATTTTCATTTTCTTTATTTGATTGTGAAAAAGCTACAAATACGATCGTTTATATAATTGAAATAAATTATACTAGTTATAAACCGACTTAGGGCTCGTACACAAAACTGCGATGCGATGCGAATTCGCACCGCAGAAAATTACGATGCGAATTGCTGCGATGCGATTTCGTGCGACAAGGCGTCCCCAGGGTGACCATTCCTTCGACGACCGTCAACCGTACTAAACGTATTTTAAATTGAAAACTAGCTCGTGACATGGATCGTAAAAAGAAGTGTGCACTTCTGTTATTGCTTAGGAGATACAGGAAAAAAAACAAAGAAGATTTTGGAAAGATAAGATTTTGATGCGCGATGCGAATCAATTCGCAAGTTCTTGCGATGCGTAGAGGGAGCTCGCACATTTTTGTGTATGAGTCCTTAAAAAGGGTGTTCTTAGTTTTACAACCATGTTTCTTATTTTACAGGTTGGGGCACAGCAAACGAGCGTGCAGCGGCGGAAGCTGTAAAGGTCTTGATCTGGCTCTGTAGGAGACCAGAGACCAGGCCTCAGTGGCAGGACTACTTCGACCTCATACTCCTCAAGTTGATACATGCGTACGAGAGCCTCAACAAAGAAGTCATGAGGGCCGTGGAGGCTGGGATGCCGCATATTGCGAATGCTTTACCAGCTCAACAGGTTAGAAACATATATTATAGTCAATCAAGTTATTTAGTAAGGAAATAAAGATTGATTGAGTACAGAGACAGTAGTTACTAATTTGTTAGACAATAGGAGGAGCAGTAAGGAGACAGCAGTTAGTACTAAATTGTACGCTTTGTAACGAAGCCATATCTTTAGTAACTCAGCCGGCTCTAGACAACCAATGGACCCGAAACACCAGAGGCGTTACAAGTGCAGTACCTTCCTTTTGGGAATTGAGAATTTGATGATTGTGGGGGATTCGGGGATTGAGGAGACGAAACACAATGCAAATGTTGTTTCATGTCGGTTTTCTGTGGGGCCGTGATATCAATCCGGTCGAGCCGGCCCATTCCAGCCCGCGTGGCGTATCATGTGACCCTATAGATCAGCGCGCTGCGTCCAGCGCCGACGGGCGCCGCGCACGGCCTTAGTATCCATATTAGTTGAGTTCATCCTGTCAGTAAATGGCTGGCCATTAAACGAGTGTCGTGTGTCAGGTGCTGGCGCTACTGAAGCCGGTGATCCGCACGCGCGGGTACCCGACGTCGCTGTGCGCGCTGAAGCTGGCGGCCGAGGTGGCCAAGGCGCGCCCCCACGAACTGGCAGACGACACCGTGCAGCAGCTCATGGAGGGCGTCGGACAGGTACCACTATGTTATTGTAATAATTAAACCGTTGTTTGCCCTGTTCGTTTATTGGGCTCTTTAGTAATTGTAATGTGGGTGACATTACAAGTACATCCCCTTCCTGACGACAGATCGATCTGATATTTGGTACACACTCTTAACTTCTTTCCTTAGTCATAAATAATTTATTTCGACTTTTCAATACAGTAAAATATTCAATAATTATTACATTTACACTCATTGATTGGATAACAGACTCTATAAACGAATTTTTTTAACTAATTTTCTAGAAATAAGTCTGCTATTTGACGTAAAAAATATGATGACGTCACAAGCCCGTCTCATCAAAAATGCATAGAAAATATCGTTTTCTCTCCATCAACGAGACAGTATTTAATAACTAACTTAGACATTGTACTAAATAAATAGCTTATTTAATACTAGCTTTTACCCGCGGCTTCGCTCGCGTCACAAAAGGATAAAAAGTAGCCTATGTGACATATACCAATACATACAGCGCCATCTATACCAATACTTTTGTTTTCCCTCGGGAATATCAAATTTTTTGGGGATAAAAAGTACCCTATTATTTAATCCGGACTTCTAACTTTACGTCTGCAAAAATTCAATGCAATCGGTTTAGTAGTTACGGCGTGAAAGTGGAACAAACAAACAAACTCACTTTCCGATTTATAATATTAGTAAGGAGTAATACTATTTTCTTAAATAAATTCTCAGTAGTAGCACGGAGTCTGGAGTTGTGCCCGGTATATGACAATAGACTCACCCCCTATTACATGGGACTCGTAACATAGTAAAAAGTTGGTTGTTACATTGTACAGTAGCATTAAGAGCCTTAATGTGCACCTCTCTCTGCCTACCTACGTGATGTTTTATTAATATAATTTCCGTCCACAGTTGGCGGACCACCAAAACAGCGCGGTGCGTAAAGCGGCAGTGTTCTGTATGGTCGCCTTCACATTCGCGCTCGGCGAGGAACGGATGCAGCCACATCTCAAACATCTCTCCGTCAGCAAGTACAGGCTGCTACAGGTACCGTTTTGTTTTACAAAATGAAAAAATATCCACGCTATGGGGTACAGTAGTCTGATGCCCGATACAGGGCCACAGAAGGCCTAACGGGTTGCCGGGGCTCCGGCTCGGAAGTGCAGGAGTAGGAACGGACACTCCCTCTGGCTCGAAAGAGCAAGCCCTCTAAAAAAAGAGCCACCCACACTAAGATTATTTCCCATGTTGTGTATAATATACAATTTCCAATGCCTGTATACTTAAATTCCTAATCCCCAAAAGGAAGATAATGCACTTGTAACGCCTCTGGGTGTTCCAGGTGTTCATAGGCGACGCCGATTGCTTACCATCAGGTGATTCGGCTGGTCGTTTACCGGCTTATCCTATAAAAAAATCACATACACGTAACACCCAGACCCGAAACAACAATTGTTGAATCACAGTGTTGTACAACGAATATTTAAACTGTCAAACACCAAGCGGTCACCGGTGACCGCGACCTATTGTTCTTTAATTGTGTCTATAAATACGGTACTCGACGAGTTAATAAATCAGTTCAAGACTTATCAAATGCTTTTATAGGAACTTAAAATGAAACGTAGAACGTAAAATGTACAGATATTTTTCTTTTTTCATCATCATCATCATCAACAGCCTATAAATGCCCACTGCTGAGCAAAGCCTCTTCTCACACGGAGAAGGTTAGAGCATTAATCACCACGCTTGCTCAATGCGGGTTGGCGATTTCAAACTTATAATTAGAAATTATAAGTCCAGGTTTCCTCACGATGTTTTCCTTCACCGTTTGTCAGTGGTGTCTAAATAATCTTAGAAAGTACATATAACTCGGAAAAAGTCACATTGGTACTTGCCGTTGGTAGGTTTCGAACCCGCACCCTCATGCATGAGAAGTGGGCGTCTTAAACATCCGGGCCACCACGACGTTTTTCCTTTTTTAATCTACTTTTTTTAATAATTTTGCAGCAGACTAAGTCTTTCCACTCATTGCTATCACGATATACTAATTCCCTTCCCCTCTCCGCAGGTGTACATCAGCAAGCAGCGCGAGGAGTACCCCCGCGGGGGCGGCGCCCCCCCTCCCCCCACGTAGCGCCGGCACCGCCGCGCACACGTGCGCACGCGCAGCACGCAGACATCGCACGCACACACCGACGAGTAGGGCTACGTAAGCGACGCTCTGGAATTATTATATGTAGGGGTTTTATTGTCATTTAAATATTAGCCACTCTATGAAAACTTAAGAAAATGATGAAATAAATATAAAAAACTAAAAATAACGACTACTCACGTAAATATTCGAGATACACTCTACTAGTTTCGAGTCACAGTGCGACTCATGAGTAGCTACTATACAAATTTCGATCTGGTTTTGTTTTATTAAAGACTAGCTTCTGCCCGCGACTTCGTACGCGCAATCCCGTTTTCTCCCGTTCCCGTAGTAGTTTCAGATTTTTTTTCTGTCATAAGAACCTTCTCCTGGCAATAACTAACACAACAAAAAAAAAATCAGCCAAATTAGTCTAGTCGTTCTCAAGTTATGGCGTGACAACGGGAAACGGGTTTCATTTTTATACATATAGATATGTCGATCTGTTGCTTGCAGAGCCTATCATAATATTCAGAATTAATTAAAACGATATCTCAATCATATCCATCAATTTGATATCCATAATGGAGGTAGTTGTGGAAATAATTAAATTATATTGTAAGGTCATCAAGATTAAGAGTGCGTACCAAATATCAGATCGATCTGTCGTCAGGAAGGGGGTGAAATTACAATTACTAACGACCCAAACGGGGCAAGCTGAATAAGCTAAAAAAATATATTTCATCAGTTTCTTTAGAAAATAGATTAATAAATTTTGTTTGATAATAAAATACCTACATATAGAATTTACGAAGTTGCCTACAATAGTGTCAAACAAAACGAAATCTTATGATTTTACTAATAAATACCAAAATAGCTGGACAAAGTGCTGTTATAAATATAAATAGAAACTGCAATGAGTAATACTTCCAAGTGGTTTGCTTAGAAATACCTTTTTTATATCGTGTTTTACATTTTTTGGTTATTTTTCGTACCTTTGTGTTTGTTAGGAGACTGGTTGAGCGATAAATTGGGCGATAAGTCGGGTGATTAGTTGCGTACCTAAAAAGATAGTTAAGCGACCACCCTTAAATCTCTTGAGTAAAATTTACTTAGCGCAGGGTAAAAATAAGTCCTTGTACTATTAGATATCATGTATGGGTTGATGGAAACTAAAATGACGTTAAGTGTCACCTATCTTAACTTAGGGGCTCCTTAAAATGTGATTGAAATGGGGATTAATATCGTTAACAGTCTTAAATGGTTTCCAGTTTATGGCAATAGACTCGCCCACTATTACATGGGACTCATAACATAAATAGTGAATAGTGGGTGTTACATTGTGTATGAGCGTCTCTCTCTACCCCTTCTGGGATTAAAAGACTCGACGTAAAGTGTTTTGTGGTCGATCCCCTCACTGGACAATACATTTGCCAAGTCTGGGTATGACACACCCACAACACTGAAGAAAACATTATTATGTAGCTACCTCAAAAATGTTCCGATTCAAGCAAATATAATAACTATACCTTAATAACTAAAGTTCAAAATCCAGTCTCCTAATAAACTATTATATTAACCATTTAATTTGTTCGTAATGATGAAAAGAAAATCAAAAAAGTGTTTGCGCGTGATATGAAAAGACTGTGACGAACGTGTGTTGGCGATATTGGACTGTATTGCGATCGTTGTAGGGGCGAGATTCGTATGCGCACTTGTATAATAGCTTTTTACTTATATCTGCTTGAAGAATGAAGCTTCGACGCTCAGGTTAGTACATATAAAGTCTATTTTTCTGTGGTTCAAGTGAATTTCAGTTCTATCTCTGTTTAAATAAGAGTGATTTTTGAACAAAACCAAATCATTTCTATAATTTGTGTTATTTTAATAATGTGGTTCGCTAATTTGAGTTCTATGTCTATTGAAATAAAATAGGTTTCTAAAAGGAAAACCATTCTGTTATCATTAAGTTCAAAACTGTTCGACAAAAATTTAAATTTAGGTTTAATATTACTGAATTGTCTATCTCTTTCCATAATTATCTATCTCTTCCAATAGACAAGGATAGGTATGTAGTATAGTAAGGTTACCGAAAACCCAATCGGCAACGCATTTGTAACGCCTCTGGTGTTCCAGGTGTCTATAGGCCACGCCGATTGCTTACCATCAGGTGATCTGTCTGCTCGTTTGCCGACCAGTAGCTGTAGCCAAATGCCATTTAGCGCTTGTCTACATGTAGAATAGAAAACTAAATTATATGGAATTGACGTAATTTTGACAATTGTCAGTGTCATCCCTATACATTTTGATTTCTACTCTCTCTGTAGACAAGCGCTAAATGGCATTTAGCTACAGCTGCTGGCTACACAAACTATTGTAGATTTTCATTAATAACAATTCTTTTATAATCTACGTTTAAAAAACCGACTTCACTTTTGTAGTCGGTTAATTAATATGGTAAAACCTTCTCCCAAGTGTAACAAACATGTTTCTGAAAACCGCATCAAAATCGGGTCAGGCAATCGCGAGATATTTGTGCACAAACATACATACACACAGGTCAAACAGAACCTCAATTTTTATTAAACTCGGTTAAAAGTAGCAAAGAATTGCCGTCATATCTTGGTTATATACTTGATTTGATTAAAAATACTGTAAATAGTTTTTAGATTGGGTTTTTCATGAATAGTGTGAGATAGGTGTGGTCTTTAGTATAGTAACTGAAAGTAACTGAAAAAGGCTTCGCCATAAGCTTTTTAAGTGTTTTCTATAGGCGTTTGTAAATTATCATTCTGAAGTCTTAGTACGAGTATGTTATATAGTGATAGTAATTGAAATGTTGTGTTTCTAAATTCTTGTTGTGTGTCGTAGCAAAATAAATAAATGGTTTTTCTTTCTTCTTTCTTTCTTAAATGAGACCGCGTTTGGTGCTCTGATCCAAAGTCAAAGTCAAAAGTCAAAATCATATTTCAATTAGACCAGGAAGGCAAATTTGAACGTCAACAAATCAAAATCAAATTCCCAAGCGATCACCGTTGATCACTCTCCACTATATTCATTATATTATACCTTATTTCCGATGTTTAGAGACTACTTGTATATAAATCAATTTTGGGGATTTATATCAAGTGATTAAAAGTGAAGCTATTTGCTTATTCCAAGGTGTAGATTCCCATGTAGAAGAACGAGTAAGAAACTCTATAGGTTACTCTTTTTCAATCAGGTTCACAACCGCGTTCTGCGCTCTGATGGACGCTCCAATGAACTGACTAATCAGTGTCGACCGCGGTCTAGTTTAGATTACTTTAAACGTTAAACAAAATCGTATTAAACTGTCAAACACCGCGAGGACACCGGTGTCCGCACACCTATTGTTCTTTAATTGTGTCTATAATGACGGTACTCAAAGGGTACCATATGTAAATAGTTCATATTTAGCCGTAGATGTCTTATAGTTGAAATGATAATATTAACAGAATAAGATAACCTATGGAGTTTGAGTCAACTATGGAGTTTCTCGCCCGTTCTTCTACATAGGAATCTATTTATTTATTTTATTTATTTCAATTTCATACAACAAGTGTGTACAGGTGGACTTAATGCCTTGGGCATTGTCTCCCAGTCAACCTTTAAGCAGTGCAGAGATGAAAGTAGCAGGTGATTTAAACCTTTATAAATAGGCAATGTACCAGTGTAATAAATAACAAATCAGTGGAATCTACACTTTGGAATGAGCAAATATCTTCACTTGTTAACGTCCAAAAATGCCTTCCTGGTCTAATTGAAATAAATTATTGTGACTTTGACTTTGAATGATTGATTATGTCTCGGTAATGACCACATTGGTTACTTATAGAGAAACACATTAAATTAACACCGAATTATAAAACTCAGTATCATCTTTATATAAATAATTTCGTCTTTAAAGCATCGAATGACCAAAGTCGTTAAAAACTGCTATTATAAAGGAGTGCTTTCGCAATAACGTTCGTAAATCTCGCCCCTGAATACTTGTAAGGTTTGTAGTCGGCTAAAATTGTATAAAATGAGCTATTTGGTAATGTAAAGCGTTTGTATGTGTGAAAGCATTTGATGTTGTGGCTATGTAAACGGTAAAATTATCACAACACATATAAAATTTTGTTTTTATAGCGTTTTCTAGTATGTAATGCGAAAATTCCCCTTGAGATGGGTACGGTGGGAAAATTCCCATAGACTTGGGTATAGTGGGAATATTCCTATTGACTTGGGTAAAATGGGAATATTTTTATTCACTTAGGAAGTATGGGAATTCATTGATTGGGATTTTTTGTGTGTGTTGTGGTGGTTTTACTGTAACCGCCAATGCTGATGTAAAGATTTAATTCGGCTTCGGAGATGTATAAAGATATTGTACAAGATAGATATTCATTCCTAGGAATCATTCCCCGTTTGGAATATTTTTCCCATTTCATGGAATTTTTCCCATTGAATGGTTTACACTTAAAAATTGTTTCTCAACTTAAATTATGTGTGCCTTTTTACAAATTGTTGGTTTTTTTATGAAATTTTTGTAAAAAATCATGTTGTTTTGTAAATTATGGTTGAATTCTTATCTGTACTGCGATACAGTTGTTGATTTTCCATTCAGGCTATTTCCCAGTATATTTATGTGACGTGGCTCAAGCGTGTTAACTGTCAAAGGTATATAAATCTCACAAAAAGGTTCAAACTACTTGTATGACATATTGACTGCAATAATAAACCATTACCCTTGATATATAAAGTATTTAAGAATCTTATCGAAAATAGTAGTTCCCACTAGTTAGACCATGTTGTGTTTAAAGGCGTCTAAATGAATAAAACGAGATTTCCAACACAACCAGTGTGGTCTTGACGGCTTTAAACTCAATGTTAATAATAAGAATATTAAAATGTTAAATACTGGTACTGGGTGAAACGGGGTGAATAGAGAATGGAAGATGAGTGAAAACGCATTAGAAAATTCTTCATAGTATCTATTTATATTATTCTATGAGTCGTGGTGGCCCGGAGGTTCAAGACGAAAGGTTCAAAACCTACCAACAGCAAGTACCAATGTGACCTTTTCTGAGTTACATGTACTTTCTAAAATGATTTAGACACCACTGACAAACGGTGAAGGAAAACATCGTGTGGAAACCTGGGCTTATAAATTATAATTTCTAATTGTAAGTTTGAAATCGCATTGAGCAAGCGTGGTGATTAATGCTCAAACCTACTCTGTACGAAGAAACTATGGTCAGCAGTGGCCACTTTAGGCTGTTGATGTTGATCTATTCACCCCGTTTTATCGTACCGTATAGAGAAGATATTTTTTCCGAAGCAAGTGACAAATAGTGTAACAGTCTGCCTTAAAATAGAGAATAATATTTAAAATAATGTTTAAAACTAACCATTGTCCCACAGAAAACTAAGAAAAGTTAAATAAAAAAACATTGGTGGGTAATTTAACTAATTTTATGATGAACAAGAATATTTAAAAATCACTGTTAAGTTCACATTTAGGTATGGTGCTCGCGCCATCTTTGTTTTAACGATGGTGTTGCCATGTCCATGAGATTATGTGTTTATAGATTTTAAATTTGACCGGAATTAAAAGGCTTAGTACTCAGGGACATTTAAACTGTCAAACACCGCGAGGACATCAGTGTCCGCAACCTATTGTTCTTTAATTGTGTGTAGAGGTATAATGACGGTACTCAAAGGGTTAAGTTACTTAAACCAATCCTTAATTTTCAAAACAAAGTTGTTACTATGGACTGCCTCGTTGGCCGAGTGGTCGCAAGTGCGACTGCTGGGCAAGCGGTCTCGGTGTCGATTCCCGGGGCGGGTGAAGTATTACTGGGTTTTTAAAAAATTCTTAGTAGCAGCACGCAGTCTCGAATTGTGCCCGGTATATGGCAATAAGCTTACCCCCATTACATGGGACTTGTAACATAAATAGTGAAAAGTGGGTGTTACAGTGCCGTAATGTGCACCTCTGGCTATCTCTTCGATGATAAAAAAGCGGGATGTTATGATGTATGAATAGTTTAAAGTATCATTCAATATCTCTGAGTACGCCATTTAAATCCAGTTCGTCTATAAACACAAAACTAATCGAACGACTAACGATTTTGTATAACGACTATTAATCGCAGCGATTTATGTTTTATTAATTCTAAGAGCCATATGTCTTAGTGTACATACTGAGAACCGATAGAAGAGTGGCATATGTATAGAAAGAGAGAAAAGAACGGAGAATTGAACTGCAGACGATATTGAACTTTATTGTCCTGAAGATTCTATTGAGAATCGCGTGTGAACTGCAGTTTTGATTTGGCAAAGACATTTTAATTGAGACTGGGGCGTGTATAAAGATTATAAACGAGCTTGTGTTTGTGTGAAGTGGTTCTGTAGGCGTATTTGTTACATTTACTTCCAAAGTTAGTATTTCTCTTATTTTTTGTGTTTGCTTTGTGTTTATTTGAGATAAAGTAGCTATATGGTTGATTTCATTGGAGTTTATGAAGGTTCAATTAAACCAAAGGGACTATAAAAGCTAAAAGCTATGGTACATGTCAAATAAACACAAACAAACATAAATACGAACTCACAAACTATTTCATATAATAATAAAAATAATAAGAAAACCATTTCATCACTTTCTTTTTTTGTTTTTTTTTTCGTCTTCATAACGCTTGTAATATTTTAAGCGGTTAGTTTTTGAGGTTTGCGCGGCGAAAACTTGTTCGTTATATAGTTATTTGTAATTTATCCGGGGGTCAATTTATAAGGGCGCAGAGACGAAAATCTTCAAAGCAATGTGTGCATTAAGCTGTGGATATAAAGTTGAATTTGTTATGTTTATAATTGGATTTACGCTTTTTTGTGCACCTGTGTAAATTGACCCTAAGATATTACCTTTCGTTTATGCTTTAAGCATATAATTTCGTATGTAAATGGAAACATAACGAATGTAGTTTTTGCCGAACTTACCCCGTGTTTGTTTTTTTAACAATATTTATCATTTTTGTATACTTTTAATGTAAATTATGTATTATTTAACATGTCGGTTCGAGCTTAAGACAATTGTTTGATAATGCAACTAGATATAAGTTGATTTGTCAAACAATGTCCTCTCGAACTGACGCTCAGAGTCAGTGTTTTAAAATTATCTATGGAATCTCATTTTGTATAAACGCTTTAATTGTACGTTTGCTTTTTAGTAATGTCTTTTTTAATAACACAAGAATATGATAAAAACTAACATTAAGTTACGCCAACAGTCTATAAGTAGCCACTGCTGACCAAAGGCCTCTTCTCGCACGGAGAAGATTGAATAAGCACACGAGTTCTGAAGTATTGGGACTTGATAATACTTTGCCGAAAAGATCGAACATCAAAGTCAAATAAAACATCAAAATATAATGGCTGATGTTCAATAAAGGACATCTTGTAGCTGAAATCGATAAGATATAAGTGTAATTAACTCATAACACAATAGTATTCATAAATCTTTTATCTTATACTATTATATAAAGCGGAAGAGTTTGTTTTTTTGTTTGTTTGTTTGAACGCGCTAATCTCCGTAACTACAAGTCTGATTTGAATAATTCTTTTTGTGTTGGATAGCGCATTTATTGAGGATGGCTATAGGCTATATAACATCACGCTACGACCAAAAGGAGCTGAGCAGAGCGTGTGAAACCGCGCGGAAGTACCTAGTTGCATATTAAACTCGTACACAATCTCTATTTCGTTCTGTGTCTTGTGTGCGTTTACAAACATACAATTTTACATACATATGATACTCAGACCCGAAACAACAATTTGTGGATCATACAGAGTGGCTCCGTGTGGGAATCAAGCCGTTACGTTGGTCACCTAACTATGCAGTTAAATAAAAAAGACATTACTAAACTACACACACATGCACACAGCTTTACACAATACGTTTTAAAACACTGAATCCTGATTGTTATATCGCATAGTGTGCTGTATCTGTTGTACGCATTCAATTCCCAAGTATTAAGATTAATATAATAAAATTATGTCTTTTTTTCCAAAATTGTGATGGAATTTTTGTTTAAAATTAATTCCCAGTGTCTGGATAGAATGGGAAATAGTTAAGTCAGGCTTTTTAGCATTTATTTATCCATATAAAAGTCTTATTTTCTAAATGTATGATGTAATACTTGGGAATATTCCAATGGATGGGAAAAATCAGAAAACATTCCCATACATTGGTAAACTGAATTATTGTGTTATTTAAATTGGAAAAATTCCCATCCATTGGAATAATATTTCGTACACCGATTTTCATAACTTTTTACTTAAAAACTACCTAATTTCAATGACATCTAAGTACATTTTTGTCTATAAAATGTCGAATAATTATGTAGTTTTTAAGTAAAAGTGTTTCAGTACGCTATGTGATATTGTTATATATAAGACGTGCATTTAAAATATATTAAACGCTTCAGTGCGAGGACGCAGTGTCAAATACCCGTAATTACTTACTGTATTTAAATTTATAATTAATAATTATTGATTATTAATGTACGATAGTTATGAATAAATGATTTTTAAGCCTTTATCTTTATGTTTTTTTTTATATTTAACCAAATCCCCATCGTGTACCCTGAGAACGGGTAGCAGCGCTCTCTGATTAACCTTTTAAACGCCAGAGCAAAAACACATGAACCTGCCCTCAATGTCAAGCCACGAATACCACATAAATTTTCCAAAATTTCAATAGGGAATCAAATTGTTGATTTCGTGTTTACGGTTCCGCTTTGTCTGCCATGTCCAGTGACAGTTTTCGCTTGTCACGTATATATGACATTGGCGCTCAAAAGGTCGTGGTCACCGGGGGCCGCTTAGGGATTGAACAGTTAATCAGAACATTTTATGCTACTATATCTCTCCAACCTGGTAAATGTTGAGATCATGACAATCCTTCAGTTCATTCTCCAGAAATCTAGATATCACTGATGTTTTTTTTATATTCGATGGGTCGACGTTTGCCCACTATCTCGCAGGTGGTAAGCGATGACGCTGTCTACGATGGAGCTCGTCGACCCACAAGTAGAGATGGGCACTGGGAAAAAACCCAAAGGGAATATACCCAGGTTTTTTCCCATTTGAGAAAAAACCCGGTTTTTATGTGGGAAAAAACCCAATAGGCGGGTATTTTCATTTATAATAATCTTATTCTATTTTTATTTTCCGAACTAAATAAATAGGTACGTTGTGATGCGCATATAGATACTTAGAGCCCGCGTGTGTAAGGCACTTGTTGTTGTCTGTTATTTGAAACATCAAAATGTGTCTGTTTCAGGAACTAAAACATAACCAGCATATTTATTATAACACCATAAAGACGTCTTCTTGTTTTATAATAGGATTTTACTGCGCTCTGTGATGAATGTTAGCAGCATAAGAAATACCAATTGAAACTTTAAAGAATGACCAAAAAAATATAATTAAGACAACAACAGATACTCTTACCAACAATCATTTATTATAGTTTACAAAATGTTTTTTACAATTGAATATTTTTAGTCACTGTCGCTACTGTCATGATTATTAAATATATTATGAATATTACAGAATTCTATTTCTTGCATATTTCCACGAGATGTTGATGGTTGATCTTTACTTATTGGGCTTCCCAATGGACTCGACAATTGCCTGGGTGTAGATAACGGCTCGTCATCATCGTCATGGTCATCATCTATATATTTGTGTAATAAGTTCCAATTATATGATATAAAAGCTATTTTTGCCGCCCTTTCTGTAGTCAATCTATTCCGTTTGTGACTATGTGTATGCGCGTGCGTGCTAAAAGATCGTTCAGTAGCTGCTGAAGTACAGGGAACAGTTAAAATACGTACTGCAACCCTACTCAGCAATTTAGACTTGCAAAGTCCTCTCCACCAAACTACTGGGTCCATTTCAGCCACATTCTTCCATATAAATGGTCTACTCCATAAACCCTGTTTAGCTCTATAATTGGCTAAATCAACGCCAACGTCAATATTTAGCGATTGACTTACATCGTGTATAAACCCCATCGCATCCACTTCGTGTTCTTCTTCTAATTCAATTCCTTGTGACCGTGGGTCCAATAAATATGCAGCATAATGAATAGGTTTCAAACAATTATTTGCTCGCCTAATTACAGCATTTGTAATATCTTGTTTGTGATGCTCATTTAGAATAGATATATCCGGGAATGCAAAATTAAATGTAGACTTAATATCTTTGAAGGCCATATAAACTTCATTTATAAGTATTCCATTGCCTTCAAGTTTGAACATTTTTTCAGTTATAGGTTCCAGTAGTTTTATACAATTTTCTACCATGGTCCAGAAATGTAAATCCAATAAATTTGTTTTTATTTCGTCTGAAATAGTGGCATCTTCGTGAACAGCTAATGTCTGTAATGCAACTTTAGATTTTTTTAAACTTTTTAACGCAGTGCAGTAACTGCCCCAGCGGGTGTTCCCTGGTAATTTCAATGTTTCACACGAACCTTTCTCTTTTACAATCGGAGCTAATAAAGCGCTCATACTTTGGTTTCTTTTAATTGCTTTTATCGTATTAGTGGCAATTGATATAAACGCATTAATAGGTTCTAATTTTAAACAATCTTCGCACAGCAAATTCAATGTGTGTGCTACACATCTCAGCGGTATTATATGTGCATATGAATTTTTAACTATCTGAAATGCTCTTTGAATATTATTTGCATTATCTCCGATAAGAGTTACAAATTTGTGGCCTCCGTACACGTTTATAACTTTAATTATCTCTTCAGATATATATTGGCTTGTATGTCTGTTTGTAAGAGTATTAAGGCTTTTAACAAAAACAGGCTCGGGTTTTGCAATAACGAAGTTGATGATACCCTCATTGCGCTGATTGCTCCAGCCATCACACTGTAAATGCAAATCATTTAAAGACTTCAGTTCGTCTGTAATTTCCTTGACCATTTCATTATAAATAGTTTCCAAATATGTTGTGGAGATAGCTTTTCTGGATGGTAATTTATAAACTGGTTGCAAATCGTCAAAAAATTGTACCCACAGCGGATGTTGAACGATGGATACAGGAGAACAGGTAACAAATATTGCCTTCGATAAAAGCTGATCTAGATAAAGTTTCTTTTCTGATGAAATTTCTGATGAAGTAGTAATAGAAGTTGTGTCCGTCAAACTGGTATCCTGTGTCATTTCACGATGTGATTCATCTTGCAAGGGCGAATTTGTAACACTTGTTCTAGTAACAGGTATTTTCTGTAGTTCGTTCTTGATAACAGTTGGACATCTATAACATTTCAATAGATGACTGCTCATTTTGCTGACATTGCCAAACTGGTAAACTTTTTCACAGTGTTTGCATTTTACTGTTTTACTGGTTGCCGAATGAAAATAGTTGTCCCATACATCAGTATTTTTCTTTCTGGGCATGATGTGATCTATAGGTAAAAAAACAACGTACAACATTACAAGTGATTAGAGTCGTTCTAAAGAATGGTATTAACAGAGTAAGTAAACCTACGAAACTAATATGAAATAAGTATAAATGACCAAAAGAATAAATTTATACTTTGCCCAAACGGCTTAAAACACCCAAGCATTTGGCCATCTCTGTACATAACTAATTTCAACTGTTATAAGAACTATTTGCTACAGTAAATAAACTTAGAAAATCAAAACATATCAATTTCAATAGATAAAAGTACAAAGTTTGTAAGGAATTCACAAATATACTGTTTAAATGTTTTTTAGTCTATTATAACAATTATGAAAGCTCAAACTTACCGATAAATTATCGTTCGTAAGAAGAAGTAGGTATCAAAGTCCGTAAGTAAGAGTAGCAGTTGTTGTCAATTAAAAGGAAATCACGTTTTTAATCACAAGGTAACCAAAAGTCCAGAAAACAAAATCCAAGTCGTCAATTAAACCAACAAATTAACACGTGTGCGTACAGTATGAAGCCGAAACAACGTATGAGATAGATAACCAACGCGCTCGCCCCTCTACTACCTGCTTCCCTGCCCCTCTACCCGCTCACGTAGTTTCGGGTTACCTGTCGCTAAGAGCGGGGGATCACACACAAACAGATAGGATTTTATTTTATTTCATTTGATAGTAGGTACCTAAGGATATTAAGAACGTTGTTACTGTAATATGGACATAAACAAAGTTAGATTAGCTCTAACTTGTAGTAATAGTTCTTAAATAGTACGTACTATATGATATGTACATAATCTACACATTACTTATTTGTTACATGTGTTAAATATGAAAAAACCCGAATATTTTCCCATTCGGGAATTTTCCCCGGGTTTTTTCCCGTATTCGGGTTTTTTCCGGGTAAAATCCCATCTCTCACAAGCGACCTGTTCACTCGGGCCTTGAAGACTCCCAGGTTATACCCTTCAGGAAACACAGACTAACAAAAAATGATAATTTTTCTAATCATTTTTTTTTGTTTACCTATGCTGCATTTGTGGTCGACGAATGTCTCTTATCGATTTACTCAATTCATATCAAGTACGTTGTTTATGGGAACTGAGGTTTCTTGTCCAAAGTAATATTTAGTAGTATCTAATCATAGGATATTTAATTTTTTACAGCTACAATGATTGATAGTTCAATAGTTCTCTTGACTTCTTAATACATAACTGGCAAAGTTATACTGTTACTACTTTTCCATAATTATATTTATTTAAAAATAGACTGCCTCGTTGGCCGAGTGGTCGCAGGTGCGACTGCCGGGCAAGTGGTCTCGGGTTCGATTACTGGGTCGGGCAAAGTATTACTGGGTTGTTAAAAATCTCAGTAGTAGCACGGAGCCTAGAATTGTGCCCGGTATATGGCAATAGGCTCACCCCCTATTACATAGGACTCGTAACATAAATAGTGAAAAGTGGTGTTACATTGTACAGTGGCATTAAGTGCCTTAATGTGCACCTCTGCCTACCCGACCCAGGATTCGACGTTGCACTTGCGACCACTCGGCCAAGGAGGCAGTCGACAACGAGACATTAAATATTGCGTGTAGGAATGGGTAAAAAATAAATAAAAATCCATACATTTTTATAACAATCTCTATAATTATGGCACTTTAATATTTGACAAGAAATAATATGATATATACCATAGGTTCAAAGCTATAACAACAGAAATATTCAATTAGTAGTAGGTATTGCTTATGAGATACAATCAGGCATAAGCGCGAGAGAAAAATCCATATTTTCCCACAAAATTTTCATTACTGGATTCCATTTAAGACCTTACTATCCCCAGAAAATATTAGAAACAAAATTCTCAGTTCAAACCATATGTTTACAATCGATTTTTATATTTAACCTTATACAGGTTTAGATGTAAAATAGGTAACACAGAGTCGGATTTTACCTAAACAGCGCCCTAAGCAAGGACCTCATAGGAGCCGTCACTCTATGGGCAGTTGGGTACGCCTGTCTCGCAGCGCCCTCTGTAACCTGGCGCCCGGTACTTACCTAGTTTGCTTTAGGTATAATACCGCTCTGAGTTTACATATGAGCCTGTATAAAGTTCACACAGGTACAACCATCGTGTATAAATGTGAAAAAATCTGACAAACAGGCCACAATATCTTCGTAGAACTTCGGAATTAGCGACTTTAGAAGGCTAGGTCAAAGACAAGATCAAATTTGATTGCATGATTGGTGCAGTGGATGAACACCTACTGCGCAACGTGGAATATCGCTAAAAAAATGTGTCTATTTTAAATTACGTGTTTAGACATTTTTCACAGTAGGTACTATGTAAAATTCAGCGAGTCTAAACGCAGTTTTTCTCTTTTGTATTTGGTTTATATGTTAATCACATAATCGTTTGCTAGTTTATGAATTTCAATATTAGATTTCCAAATATTGCTAAACAATATACTTAGTTGAAAATTTATTTTTAAAAAATCACCACTTTAGCGACCAATTTTTGTTATTATAAATGCTGAGACTTATTCAGCAATAAAATAATTTAATATGATGAAAAGTAAAGACGTATTGTTGTAGATTTTCCATTGCTTTTCAGCTTCAGTCGCTAATTTCAAAGTTCACATAATAACACAGCGGATTCTCAACATTGGCCGTTCTTAAGCAATCAGCTTGTTAGTGTATTAATTAAAAATTAAAGTGCATTAAATTCTCCATTTTGGGGTACAACGATGTCTACGGAATTTCACAAAAAGAATTCTTACTAGCGCCATCTAGTTTCAACTAGTGGTACTATTAGTGTTTACTTTATAGGACAGGTGGCGCTAGCTATTGAATGTATTTTAGCGAATTAAAATATGAAAAATCTAGTTAAAAGGTAACTTAGCGTTGTAGAATAATGATATAGTAACAATTAAATAGAATAACGGTCGAATATTAAAGAAAATGTTCCTAAAACATCGTCTTACCCATATTATTAGTACATGCTGTCCAACTAGGCGTTCTTTCGGGGAGACAATCCAAGCGAACTTCCAACGCGGATATGTAAACAATCTAATTGACAGTATTAGTTGATGGTTAAACAGTTCTAACAAATGCGTGATATGCATAAAATTTAGAAAAATTGTGAAGAAAGAAGAATATTATTACTAGGCGTGGTGAGTTATATTTTTAATTCTTTTCCTCATCATTGGAGACAAAATACATCGTTTCTATCGTCAAATAACGTTCCTGACTTGGAAAACCTTCACTCATCGAAAATATTTGGCCTTTAGAAGCCAATTAGGCCAATTACCAAAAACATTTTTATTGAAAAAGAATCAATTTGAATTCTTCTTCAAATATGTTTGTTTAATTTTGAATTTTATCTTTACAGACACAAGATCCATTTTAACTCGCTAAAGTGTCTGGATAATTATGTAAGTACGTGTTTTTTAACTTGATTGGACCATTATTACACTCGATAATGCTTACACTTCACTTTTCTACCATCGACATCAAACTTGACTTTTTCATTCCTTATCCTACTTATGATATATTATTTCTTATGTTGTATTAAGCGTAATGATACTAAATATTCAAAACTTTCTTAATTACCAAGTATTTCTCGTCGTCCATTTATAATCGTTAGTTTAAAAATATAACACACCACTACATTGCATTCTTAGAATTCTAGTTAGTTTAAATTAAAGCGATCAATCTTTAAACTTTACAGTTAATTATTAACAGGGTTTTTGTAAAAAAATCTAATTCATAATTATTTTGAGTCAGCTGTCATATATATTTGGTACTGGTGATATAAACCGATAAATTATAATAGTGTTTATTTCTTGCCACATAAAGTTCATACTTCTACGATTTCCATTTATGAGTTCGTTACAACCATCATCAGAATTTTGGAACCGTATTGTGACAAGTCATAAACACTCATTTTTGGCCAAGAATAGGCAACACCTTGAGGTAAATTAAATCTTAACTGCTACAGTTTTAAGTCCCATTTCTCAATGAGACTGAAAGCCATTTCTTCATTGCAAAGGCAAGAGGGCGCTATACAAAAATAGTCGCATCTCGTCTGCATATGAAAGAAATATGGCATATATGACAGCTAACTCAAATATGAACAAATTCATCCGTATTAACAGCATTCCAGTGATCGTGTAAGCCTGTCTACTGTGCCATGCCGATCCTTGTACAATATTTATATTTCTGACAAGAAAACAGCCATCACATAAGTCAAGATTCATAAGACCATAATACCAAGTTTTAAGTCGGAGTGCTGTGTGCGAGTAATTTTTACGTTAACACAAACTATTACCGTATTAAGGCCTTCTGATTGAATGATCGAGGTGGAACAGCCAATCAGAGCGGCGAAAGTATTAAACGTGTCGATCGCGTTAACATAAAACAATCAGTAACTCTAAAAACAAGTTCTTATTTTTAAGCCAGTAACGTTCATTTTCATATGCAACTCAACATATTTAAGTGTCAACATAGCACTCTATGTAGTTTACTTACTTGACTCATTTAAAAAAATCTTATATGCTACTAAGAAGTTGACACTATTTAGCATAGCACTTTTTAAATGTAATTTATCCTGTATCATTTCAATTTTTCTTACCTATCTTGTCAAATGGTTGCCTATCTTCCCTATGTTTGGCTGCAGTCTTGTCAGATTGGGATCGCTTTATATTTTTCAAGTAACATGCAGTGATACGCAATGTCATGTCATGAATGATTAGCACATTTCTCCGTGTACAAGCAAACATTGTTTAGGATCAATTTTTCTCAGAATTCTCATATATTTCACTGAATTATATTATACAATTTGATAATTACATTTCACAATACAAAATTACAATTTCTTTTTTCATAATTTAAATTATAAGTGAAAACTATATAGAATTTGTCAGTTTTTTTGTTATATTTTGTACAGTATAGGAATTCAAATTGTATAAACAAATCAGCGTTCACGGGCGGGATAATTTCTTAATCATAATTATCGTCTATGATATTCATAATTTATCAATCTCTTAGCATTAACTTTATAACCCAAACAATATCCGCTCGCGACACACCTATGCAAGAAATATAAAAAGGAATTACTTTAATTTTAATTTACTAAATAATTAATAACAATTTTTAGGAAGTACATAATGATGACGGTCGTTATTATTATTTATATATTTGTTTTTTATTAATTATATTACATATTTATAATACCTATCATATGCTTTGCACTCCTGTTTAATACAGCCTAATTCGTCGCTGTTGTGATTTTTACGACGCGAGACACTTCAGGCCCTTTCACTAAAAATATATAACAATGTATACTTCACACTTAATTTTCAACCGGTTTATTTTCCCAGGAACCTAAAGGCAATAGTCCTAAGGCTTACTTTATGTTTAAATATCTTGAATCTTTAGAACTTGAGCTTGAAATATGGAAAGCTATCCCTGAGACCCGATTTGACCTACTTCCAACAACTAAAACTCAATCGTGTCTAGCGTATTCTACTTTGAATGCATAAGGAAATTATTGCGAATATTGCTAATTATCATGGGCAACATGAATTGTATTCCACCCATACATAAAGCTGTAAAACAAGCCATGTTCACAGACCTCTGAATCCCTAATTACAATACACATTTTCGGGGTTTATAAAAACGCTACATTCCACAATATCCCACTAAATATTTCTTAATTATCTCAGGAAGATATTTGTGTGTTAAATCTAAGCGTGCTACTTAACTAAATACGTCGTAAAAATCACAATGAACGATCTACTATTAAATTACTAGTAACAAAAAATATCACTAAAGTTCGCTCATCAAGTATTGCACCCGTATCTAACTATTTAAACTAATTTACTTTATTAAATATAGAAATATACAACTGTTCATGAACTTGGCTCGAGCAGACATCGGGCTGTAGGACGGACAGACAAAACCTTGCAGTCTGAAGTTAGCTACAAGCGTATCACTGTCTCATTTCTTCTTAATTATTTATTATACTTTCGTCTCGCTCACTCAGCGGGAAAAGACGTGATACGGGAATATATAGAAACTATTTTATATAGAGAAAGCAGCAAACTATTTTAAATAGGTATTAGAAGAAGGTAGAAGCATAGAGAAGGTACTACCAACAATTTTCTCTCATTTTTATAGTCTGCCTGCTAAAACATTACCTTGATTTTTATACAATTTTTCTTTAGATACCTTAAGAGTCAAGTTGTTTGAAATTATAATTGATGAACAGTTATATATTTCTCTATTTTATTGCTATATTCAGCCGGCATATATCGGACATTAACTTTGTTACACGTTCAACATGTCGATTTTACGTGAAATTGTATAATTCATTTTTTAAATGTATAATAATAATGTATAAATTGCGTCTCAGCGTTGGCTAGCGTGGATTATAATAAAAATGTATATTTTTTGTGACTTTTATAAAATTTTACTTATAAACGTTTCGTTTCTATCGCAGCACTGTTAGATTCGTGTCTGGTCTTGGACTGACTATTTTTGCAAATCTTCTATTGAATTATTTAACATTAGACCCTAAAGATGACAATATATTGTGAAATAAATAGCGTACAATTATTTCACGATGTGAATATACATATTATAATATGTAAATAATAACGAAATCCTTTACACTCATCCGTTGCAAATTTTTTAAGCAAGAATTGTATTTTCTCAAAATATAATTTGTCTATCAGTGTGTCAAATTAAAATAGCCATTATCCACTATCTTTCGTTCATATTAGAACAGAAAGTTCATTTGTCTATATCCAAATAATGTATTTTTTATACATATCGTTGCAAAATCCTAACAGTACTGCGTTAAAACTCATGTCAATACTCTTCGTCCTGCTATTTGGATATTTTATTCTATTTCTAGCAAAATTATGCTGAAAATATATTTTGTACTAACAATATTTCGCGACTAATTTATTTTATTATATCACTCTCGATTCTTATGGCTTGGGCGGGAATTCTACGCGGTAAAATTAAATTGCTTTCATTCACCGCTAGATGGTGTTAAATTTTACTTTATTTATGTAAAATTGAAATCGTTTTTCTTTAAGTTGTAAATATTTGATATATTTATTAAGATAATGTAAATACCAATTTAATAATGGTAACAGTTCGCAAATAATACGGTATGAACAATAAGTAAATTCTGAATCAGCGCCATCTGTCTTGAGTTTTTTAAATTATCTTCTGTAATAAATCGATATAATGTTTTCATCAAACTGTGAAAAATGGTAAACAACATTTGTAACGTAGTAAGATGTTTTTCATTAATATTAATATTTTGAATAAATTTTCTTAGCGTGAATATAAGCAATAGTTGATAAATTTATGACAGTACATAGCATCATATTTTAATGAGTTAAACGTGTTTACACCTGCATATTTTCAAATCATTTTAATACATGCTTTCCAGTTGACTAAGGCGCGTAAGAATGGAACCGTCGGTAGAGGGCGCCCTAGACGGATATACTTATATCGACCAGATTAGCGATACCTACATTAAAAGAAGGGCCAAAAAAGTACCGTTGACCGACCGATGACTGTTGAGTAAGCGAAAGAGTTATGTATTATAAGAATCGTTGCAATTGGCGTTGCATAGGCTCTGCCTACCCCCATGGGAGAGTTATGTACATACGTATGTATATACCGCGTAAAATTCCCGCCCTGTTTGGTATTTTTGCTGTCATCACAAAGTGCTGTATGACAGGCATCGAACCCGTCACAACAAAGCACACATTGCTTATAATTTACCCTATGATATATTATTTATAATAATAACTTATATTTAATGATTAAAATGTATTTGGTGTTTAATTTCATAAAATTATTTATTTTTACACTATAATTATCAAAATTTATACGTTGCACTATAATCTAGCATACTTTTTACTATTTTTTCTTTTATTTATATATCTATGTCACTTGCAGATTATGAAAAAATAATGTGTACTTGAAAATTAAAAGTAGGAACATTAAATTATTAAACGAATTCAATAATGGCTTTAGAATATTTTTCTAGCTTACGATTTTTTGTCTAAAAACCATTAAAACAGCAAACCTAAAGGAAAATGTTAAAGGTATTTAAAACTATCGATAATCATTTTTAACATCCTTATTTTTAAACGCAACTGTTAAACTAGTGAAGTGGACATTTCACAAATCTATCGATATCGATGAAAATCCGTTACGTCGCTTAAAAAATATTACTCCTGTACAAGGGTTTAAAACAACACAATGACGATACAAGCTAAAATTAATTAAAAATTAAAACTGAATTGACAATTTAATTACCTACGTCTTTTCTGAAGACAATAAAAACACAACCGTTTTTTAACACTAATCTCGGGAACTGATATCACCAATCTGATGTCCTTATCGATAACTATTCATCTATTTATCGGCAGTACTTGCTAGTTTCATCTCATTTTCGATTTCTTTCTCTATCTACAAGGTGCTCACTTCTAAGATTAGGTGCAACTATGAGCAAATTTTATTGGACCAATCAGAAGCGTTCGCAGGAGAAATTAGTAACTCGTAAAACCTACTAGATGGCAGTGTTTCACATTTTGTTACAAGAACCACTGCCATCTAGTTTCAGCACTCTCACTCTCGCCATATCCTAGTCTCTTTATACCTATCGCTTTTATACTGCGCTTTATGTACATGCTAAATCCAGGAAAACTTTATTAATAATTTTAGAGCAAAAACTGCTGAACATGAGATTAGCCTTAGAAGAAAAATGTGCTTAGTTTTGACACCACTTGGTAAGCTTTAAGCTTGTCAACTATTTTACTTTTATGAATTATTTTTTCGGTCATTTGTTGAGCTTCTCGACTCGTTTTGTACCTTTTTGTCTTTAGAGAGATATTATAATATGTTGATTCATTTTCTTTGAAAAATCCCTCATAGTATGTTTAAAGATTCACTCTTACAACACATTCAACTATATTTCTTCTTACAAAAATCTACATTAAACGTTCGTAATTTTATAATTCGTTGCCTCTAAACCGAGGAGCTCTCACAAAGATTGTACTCGCTATGATCTCGAAAATGTCAAGCTAAGCATTAGTCAATGCGGCCTGACGGGAATCAATTGCCGTGCTGTAAAAACTAAGCACCACAAGACTAAACTACATCTACGTTTGGACGAAAAATGTAATTAAATCTCAGCTAGGGTAGGGCCCAAAGGTACAGTCGATCGATTGTCGATTCATCGATAAATCTACCTCGATCGCACATATCGATAAGATTCGACATAGGGTTGACAGTTAACACAATTTATCGACATCGATGATTTCATATTGTCTGACCGACGTCTCGATTTGTCGTCATATGAAAGTGAAAAACAGACAATATTAGTCAGTCATCGACATCGGTGCTCGACAATCGACCGCTCGGGGCAGTCACTACGCCTACTTCACCTTAGGCATGCACATGCGACTAGTGTTGCGACCAAGGCCAGTGCTGCGACCGGTGTTTGCGCGCCATTGCACATATCTTCCTCGCAGAAGCACATGTGGCCAGTGCCAGTACTTTCCATCATACACACGTGGTCTACCATGAATAGATTTATCTGGAGTTGTGATGTACACGTTCGCCGGACCACTTCGTATGCTGGAAACAAAGAAACAACGTTGTTATTTTGGAGAATGGATGGAAAAGTGGAGAACAATCAAAGGAATAATGAATACATTATTACGCCTCATAAGAGAACTTGAAAACAGGGATTCCTAAATGAATTCGATAAGTACTGTGGACAGAACAAATATTATTTTTATTAGTTGAGAAGTTTAATACGTTGCCTTGCGTTTATTTTGTAACTCTAGATCGTTGTTTAACATTATTGTGTAATCCTAACTTAGTGGTATCTTGTCTGGCTTCTCTGTCTGGTAGAATTTTAATATATTGGTATTTGTCGGCCCATTAGTATGGCCGCCGACCATAGAGGCGGCGACGCGCGGGACGGGGGTATAAAAAGCCACGGCTGCGCGAGTGCCGCGCTTCTTCAAACACACACTCCGCTAACTCACGCCATAGCTTTTGGACATTTCTTTGTGTCGGTGCGCCGCCGGTCTTGATTCTAATTTGTGAATAAACCTACTTAATGTGCAGTCTTCTATTTTAATTTAAAATAACCCGACAGAGTTCGAAGCGACAATATTTGAAGATATTTCCAACAATTTAGTTTTCCTAAATCACCTTACTTAAACAATTTATAATACTTTAATCATCAATCATCAACAGCTTATAATTGTCTTGTGCTGACCAAAGGCCTCTTCTCGCACGGAAAAGGTTTTAGCATTAATTAATCACCAAGCTTACTCAATGCGTATTAGCAATTTCAAACTTAATAAGAAATTATACACCCGGGTTTCCTCACGATGTTTTCCTTCACTGTTTACCAGTGATGTCTAGATAATCTTAGAAAGATTATAAATTAAAACTAAAAAAACATCGATATCGACATCTCATACACAAGAACTATTGACAGCACTAATTAGTGACGTCCCCAGTTCAAAGACCGTTAACATAAACAATGATAGATAGTCCATTTCCATTAAAATTGTCATAGACTGACAAACAGTCTTAGCAGTTGATTGCCAAAAATTAACGAAGTACACTAACAGTTGGCTAGCTGCCCAATCCGAACGGAGTTTAAAGAAACAGTTAATAGATTGTTTTAGAGAATAAACAGGAAAAAGTCAATAGATATTTTACACCATCTCTCTTGCGATTGACTATTTTATAGGATACTAGCTTCTGCCCGCGACTTCGTACGCGCAATCCTGTTTTCTCCCGTTCCCATAAAATTTTCAGAATTTTTTTCTATCATAGGAACCTTCTCCTGACAAAAAACAAAATCAGCCAAATCGGTCCAGCCATTCTCAAGTTATGGCGTGATAACGTCAAACGCGTTTTTATAAGTGTGGGAGAGCCATGCTTCGGCACGAATGGAGTGATTCCCCGTGAAGCAATGCTTGCGTTGTGTTTCGTCGTGTGAGTGAGGTTACCGGAGGCCCAATTACCCTTTCCCCAATCTCCCCAATCCCTGAAACATCAACAATCCTCAAACTCCTAATTCCCAAAAGGCCGGTTACGCACTTGTAACACCTCTGGTGTTCCAGGTGTCCATGGGCGAAGCCGATTGCTTACCATCAGGTGATCCGTCTGCTTGCTTACCGACTGAGAGATTGGGGAAGGGGGAGGGGTAATTGGGTCTCCGGTAACCCAATTGTTTATGATGACATTCGATTGTTTATAAATTGACTGATTATGTTATACTAGCTTCTGCCAGCGGCTTCGCCCGCGGTCCCAGGGGTAAAATGCCTATGTATCACTTCAGACCATAATCTACCTCAGTTCCGAATTTCATTCCGGTCCCTTCAGTCGGTTTAATATGACTGAGTAACAAACATACACATAAACTTACATATTTTCATTTATAATATCGAGTCAAGCTAATTTCAACCATTGGCCTTTCAGTTACAGCGTAAAGTCTATGAATGAGTATTGTAAACGTTAGAGTAGACAAATACAATCAGAAATCACCGAATTGCTAAGCTATCGGGAGTTTCACGTGTTATTGTGAGTCAACCATAAAAGATAGACATATGCTGTCGAGGAATATTTTTTATATAATTTTAAGGAGAATATTTCCGTCATACATGATTTCTATGTAGCTTTAACCTATAAGCCTGCACACGCGACGGAAGTTTAAAAAATGGAGTAACTTCTCCCGTTTTCCCAATATTTCCCTTCACTGCTCTGCTCCTATTGATCGTAGCGTAATGAAAAGTATACTATAACCTGCCCAAGAGTATGAAGAATAATTGTGCCAAATTTCGTTAAAATCCATCGAGTAGTTTTTGTTTCCATAACGAACATACAGACAGACAGACAAAAATTTTACTGATTGCATTTTTGACATCAGTAGCGATCCCTAACCACCCCTTGATAGTTATTTTTTAAATATATTGTATGTACAGAATTGACCTCTCTACAGATTTATTATAAGTATAGATGTTTTATTTGACGTGTATCATATTTTTGACGTTTTTAGTTACAGTTGTAAAAAATGATAATGAAAGAAATACTTACGACTTTTTGAATATCGAACCATCTTGACGCAGCATCCGTTGCAGGTCTGCAGTGGCGGCTGGTCTCTGGGTAGCGCTGTGTAGTTGAAGGGGTCCTTACACCTGGGGTCCGTCCAGCTGTCACACTCGTAGCAGTATATCGTACGGGCTGTGGACAGTTTGTGGAGATTTAGAATCGTTTGAGATTTAGGGCCATTTGAGATTCCGGATAATTATTTGCGATTGGGATTTTTTGGTGCAATTTGGTGTGCTGAGTCAGTGTTTGTTGCTGTTTATGTGATTGGGATTGGTTTGGTGTGATCGAGGGATTTTTATGTGGCTATAGCAGTTTTTATTTGTTTATTCAATGCGCTAACAACTAAATGTAGTGGTGTAGTTGCTGTATTCTACCTATTGATCCCCGGATGTGGCAAAATAGGGCTGATGCCGATACGGAGCCGCTGAGAACGTAAAAGGTTACCGGGGCTCCGGCTCGAAGTGCAGGAGAAGGAACGGGGTAGTTTTTAGTCAGTAAGAGTCTGACACTCCCTCCCGCCTCACCCTTGGCGGAAGAAGTCATTCGATGATACTCCCTTAACCCTTTTAGTACCGTCATTATAGACACAATTAAAGAACAATAGGTTGCGGTCACCGGTGACCACACGGTGTTTGACATTTTAAAAAAATCTATCTATTGATACTATTGTTCGCGATTTAGTTAGTAGCATTTGGTGTGCACTATAATAATATTTGATACTACATAACAACACACCTTTAACCCCCGAAGGGGTAGGCAGAGGTGCACATTATGCCACTGTACAATGTAACACCCACTTTTCACTATTTATGTTATGAGTCCCATGTAGGGGTGAGCCTATTGCCATATACCGGGCACAATTCCAGGCTCCGTGCTACTACTGAGAATTTATAAAAAACCCAGTAATACTTTGCTCGACCCGGGAATCGAACCCGACACCCCTTGGCCGGCAGTCGCGCTTGCGACCACTCGGCCAACGAGGCATTACATTAAAATTACTATGTGTTATTAATTTTTGTCAAATTGAGTAGGTATATCATGATGTCATGACGAGTAGATACGGATAATTATTTATAGTGCATAAGATATTTTCGTTGCGGAATACTTCCTATTAATATTTTACCAACTATTTGGCCGATGCAGTAGTAAATAAGTGTATAATTAGATCATATGACGCTCCAGTCCAGTCGAATGGCTCTAAAATCCATTAAAATATCTCTTTATGTACTGAACGGCAGCTGTTCCTGATTTTGTACTGTCATAAAATTAATAGGACTAGCAGCAAGGGGCCGAGCAAGGGGTCCCGTGCTCGAATCCCGGGTCGGGCAAAGTATTACTGGGTTTTTCAAAAAAATTCTCAGTAGTAGCACGGAGTCTGGAATTGTGCGCGGTATATGGCAATTGCCTCACCTCCTATTACATGGGACTCATAACATAAATAGTGAAAAGGGATAAAAGGCGTGATGTTATGTTATGTTATTTTATGTTATAAAATTAATAGATCTTGTGTTTTTAAAATTTTCTTCTGTTTACTTTTCGAAACAATCCAACAATATAATAGAAACCTGTCCTGGGTATATGTCTACTGATGTTATAAAGAGGAAATATTCGATTGTTTGTTTTTTTGCATTAAATTGGCTCCAAAACTACTGAACTGCTTTAAAAACGAAAATTATTATCATTGAATGATTGTTATTTAGAGAGCACCTAACTTTAATCTTATACTATTATCTTATATCTTATACTATCTAGAGGTATATATATAAAAGAAAGTCGTGTTAGTTACACCACTTATAACCCAAGAACGGCAGAATAGATTTGGCTGAAAATTGGTAGGGAGGTAGCTTAGAGCCAGGAGACCGACATAGGATACTTTTTAACCAATACTTTTTTTTTTTACTTTTTACCGAAAATCACGAACGGGGACGGGAAAAAATGGGATTACGCGTACGAAGTCGCGGGCAGAAGCTAGTTAGGTATATAAAGTGGAAGAGTTTGTTTTTTTGTTTGTTTGTTTGAACGCGCTAATCTCCGTAACTACAAGTCTGATTTGAATAATTCTTTTTGTGTTGAATAGCGCATTTATCGAGGATGGCTACAGGCTATAAAGCATCACGCTACGACCAATAGGAGCTGAGCAGAGCGTGTGAAACCGCGGGGAAGTAGCTAGTTTCCAATATTCCTACAAAATCGAAGACCTACTGAAGAAAACTTAATTTCAAAATTTGACATTATCAAAGTCACTTAAAATTAGCGTGTAGAGTATATAAAACATTATACTCCCATCTAACATCCATATACCTAATCTAATCAACATAATAGATTATAAAAACTAAAAAACCACATCACCAAAACGACAACGACCGCTTCTTACCCATCGATCTACAACCAGAACCCGACTTGTTGCCGTCCCGATACCATCTACAACAAATCCTAGGTTATTTATACTAGGTGCTAAATCGCAAGGTTAGCTAAACACGCAGAGCATGTCAAGGAGACTTTACTAGTCCTTGTAATACATATAGTGGTGGAAAATGGGGCTGTATACCATAGTGACTGCCGTGGCCATTATATAAGCGGCTGACGCCTCGAAGTCTGGCTATCAATTGCTGGTCACTAGGCCAGTCGTAGTATCGAGTGTTCAGTCTCTTTGTAGTTTAAATTCCATGAAATAGTGTCAGGTTTCAGCCTTGTAGTATTTTATATTATGATAGTCACTTACGCCTTTGATGATTGATCATTAACAACAGCCTATAAATGCCCACTGCTGAGTAAGGCCTCTTCTCACACGGAGTAGGTTTGAGCATTAATCACTACGCTTACTCAATGCGGGTTGGCGATTTTAGACTTATAATATAAATTATAAGCCCAGGTTTCCTCACGATGTTTTCCTTCACCGTTTGTCAGTGGTGTCTAAATAATCTTAGAAAGTACATATAACTCGGAAAAAGTCACATTGGTACTTGCCGTTGGTAGGTTTTGACTCCGCACTCTCATGCATGAGAAGCCGTCGTCTTAAATCTAAAACCACTTTGATGATTTTGTCTCCGAGAAAATACTACTGTTTTATTTTGAGGGGGAACATCATTGAATGACTTCTCACATCCGGGTGAGGCGGGAGGGAGTGTCAGACTCTTACTGACTGAAAACCGTCCCGTTCCTACTACTGCACTTCGAGCCGGAGCCCTAGCAAATCCCAGTACCTACGTTTTTAGGAATCTCTAAAAAAATACCTACTAGGTTTATGATACCGGGTTTTTTAACACATTATCTGCAACGTAGGTCACCGGTGACTGGAGTTAGCAGAGGATTTGTCTTCAACAGTTTTCTGATGGCAGTCAAAGGCTTAAGGTTCATACGAAGTCAGGAATTCTTGATAGATTCACTCTGTTTTATAATCTTTAACAATTTACTATTTATAAGTTACTAAGAGGTGAAAAACTTTCAGATAATGCTTTGTAGCTTTCTTAAATCATAGAGAAACACTGACTAAGAGATGATTTTCCGAAAATCCTAAATGAAGACATGATCTAACAAAATTTTCATATGCGCACGAAAATATAATCAAAAGTGAATTGAGCGATTCCATATTAAATTCACAACTAACACTATTAGTTCCTTCAAAAGTAGTAGTAGTAGATATAGCAGAAATGAGGACAACTACAGTCCACACCTCTATGCAAAAAATGTTACCGACAACAGACTCGCTATTTATACACGAGACGCGACAAAATTATACACATGACGCGATCAACGTATAAATATAAAAACATTTTACACTATTTAAATAGATCGACTTGCTCTCAATTACTACATAACATCACGCCTTTTAGGCACATTATGGCACTTAATGCCACTGTACAATGTAACACCCATTTCTCACTATTTATGTTATGAGTCCCGTGTAATAGGGGATGAGCCTATTGCCATATACCGGGTACAGTTCCAGACTTCGTGCTACTACTGAGAGTTTTTTTTAAAACCCAGTATGTAGTACTTTTTGGTTGGTTATTCTTCCAGCGAATAATAAGCGAAATGCTACTTAGCAATTGAGAGCTAGTTGGTCTATTTAAATAGTGTAAAATGATTTTATTTAAGTCCTAGTGATGTTATGTAGAATAACCAATGAAACAGTTGTGTCCATTCTTCTTTTCATCACTTATACTTGAAAGGCAAAAACTGAAGCTATCGAAATACCCAAAACATTTTAAACCTGACAATCTAACTTGATACTGAAGACGTAATCGTTCAATAAAATATCCTTCTCTAATCTCCACGGTTAGCAGGGGGGTCGGAGATTGCAGTTGCAAAGGTTTAGATTTATCAGAGAGCGCTGATCTCCGGTCTCCATCGAATGTGGTTTTCCTAGGACTTACGACACCCGTGGTACTATTTTGCCATCATGATGGCCTATCATCATATAGTTAATTTCGATAAATGAAATATTAATTGTATATGAAAATCTTTATAATAATCCTGAAATAAGTCATTTTGGCCCGTGGGTTTAAGAAGCCCGCTTCTCATGCGTGAGTGCGCGGGCTCGAAACCTACCAACGGCAAGTACCAATGTGACTTTTTCCGAGTTATATGTACTTTCTAAGATTATCTAGACACCACTGACAAACGGTGAAGGAAAACATCGTGAGGAAACCCGGGCTTATAATTTCTAATTATGTATAAGTTTGAAATCGCCAACCCGGATTGATCAAACGTGGTTATTAATCAAACCTTCTCCGTGTGAGAAGATGATTTACTCGGCATTGGGCATTTATAGGCTGTTGATGAAACTGAATGAAAATCCTTTACTCATTAAACCCTAATTCTTGAGAAAGCAGAAACAGTCATCCAATATCACAGTACCATAATAAATACTGTACAAGGAATGCCCTCCCCTACGAAGCAACCCCTTACGTTAATTAAGCATGCGATACGTCACTTTTACGTGTCTCACGCGTCATTCAACACCTCGTACGTCACGCAAAGAATGTGTTTTCATTAATTCCCGTGTCATTAAGAACTCCCCTTCTTTATGAAGCGACCAAGGATGTAGCGAGGTTGACTGTCCAGGCGACACACGTACTTAGGTATCGTCATAAGCTAATGTTCACATGTAAAAAGCAGCTCATGTAGTGTAGATGTCCAGTCAACAAGGATGTAGCGAGGTTGACTGTCCAGGCGACACACGTACTTAGGTATCGTCATGAGCTAATGTTCACATGTAAACGGCAGCTCATGTAGTGTAGATGTCCAGTCAACAAGGATGTAGCGAGGTTGACTGTCCAGGCGACACACGTACTTAGGTATCGTCATGAGCTTATGTTCACATGTAAACAGCAGGTGTGTAGATGTCCAGTCAACTAGGATGTAGCGAGGTTAACTGTCCAGGCGACACACGTACTTGGGTATCGTCATGAGCTAATGTTCACATGTAAACTGCAGCTCTTGTAGTGTAGATGTCCAGTCAACAAGGATGTAGCAAGGTTGACCGTCCAGGCGACATTATTAATTAATCCTAAAATCGCCTATAATGTAATTTTTGTTGTGTCTTTGGGATAAGACTATAAACGAACAATCGATAAAACTAATTGTATTATGATATTTGCGGCGCAACCCTACATGTGTGTCATTAGCGAGATTAGTGATGTAACTACATCTCAAATTGGTTTATCGATAAATACATTTTATTATTATTTTGTCGAAAGGAATTTTGAGTCATCTATGTTTCGTTTATCTTTTGTAAATCCTAGCTTTATTTAATAGAAAACATTAAAGAATATTTCGTAGACATTTTTTTAAGGAATTTCCTTGTGAAAATCAAGAAGTTAAAAAAATTCAAAGATATATGTTTGTATATGGGTCCAAATACGACTACGGATTGTCAGATGTAAAAATAATAATTTAATTAGAAATTGTATGCCTAGAAATTATCACAACATAACGTAACTTCACACCTTCTATCTCCGAAGGGTTAGGCAGAGGTGCACATTACGGCACTTAATGCCACTGTACAATGTAACACCCACTTTTCACTATTTATGTTATGAGTCCCATGTAATAGGGGATGAGTCTATTGCCATATACCGGGCGCAATTCCAGACCCCGTGTTACTACTGAGATTTTTTTTAAAAACAAAGTAATAATTTGGCCAACGAGGCAGGCAGAGGCAGAAATTATGACATCTTTGGTTTTTATCTCATTACCTAACTAAAAACTATCAATAACGTTTTTAAACAATTTTCTTTCATACTTTGACACCACAGTCAGTTTATTTACAAAGCTCAAACCTTTAACACTCAATATTTATCAAAAAATCAAAGGCAAATCTTCAAAAAGGTGTAAGTCAAACATCTAAACAACGTTTGGAAGAACATCATTAATTTGAAATCTAATTTTAACTATTTAATTCACACGTCGCCGTATCTACGTCGGGACGTCGCGGCGACGGTTTTAGCAACATGGAACTATGGAACGTAGGTACCTAGTTTATTTTAGATGAATCGTCTTCGACTGGATTCCGTCATAACTTCGACCCATTATTTTCTTTTATATTGTATGTTTATGTGTATACTAGTTGAGCGTGTGAGTTTGGCTGTGTTTAAATTATATTTTTTTGAAATTATTTCATGTACAGAAAATCTGTGTGGCTACAATATATAGTGTACCTTAATTAAATTTGACAATGCCCTTACTCTTTTATAAGGTGAGAGCTTTCATAAGAGCTGACTAAAGGCAAATTTGATAGGAATTGTGCAACTGCACTCTTTTTTTATTGCATAAGCCGGTAAACGAGCAAACAGATCACCTGATGGTAAGCAATCGGCGTCGCCCATGGACACCTGGAACGCCAAAGGCGTTACAAGTGTGTTACCGGCCGTTTTGGATTAGGAATTTGAGGATTGTTGCGGAATGGGGTGGAGTAATTGGACCTCCGGTAACCTCACTCACACAACAAAACGTAACGCAACGTCGGCGTCGGTCTTCTGTGAGGCCCTGATCTCCGGTCGAGCCGGCCCATTCGTGCCGAAGCATAGCTCTTCTACACTTGAAAAACCTCTGATAACTTGACATGAACTTTTTTAAGCAACTTTTTGCAGACTCACTGATTTTAACAACTGTCTAGTTTCCTTTAATTATATCTCTTCGACTGAATTCTATTCAAATTTTTTCAGTTGTTCTGGCGCAATTAAATACCAAACGGACATACATCAAAACTACAGCTATTAAATAGAATGTATGAAGATAGGATTGAAATAAAGTCGTTGTTATTACACGAATTTATAAATACGTCATGTCTGTGGGACGTGCGGATTTTGATATTGTTTTAAATGAATTTCTGTTTGTCAGGTCGTCTGTTTTTAATTATTGAAGTAGTAGCCAA